ATAAATTGTCACCGTCACCTATATACATGGATAAGTTACTCATATGTATATTTTTCTACATAGAAAGTTGAAAATTAGTATGTATTTAACCAATATAGTAAAATATTAAGGTTTGGTGAAAAATGTGTTGAAAAAAATTAAAATTAGAGAGACTTCATTTTTATTTGTATACAGGGTGTCCCAGAAGTCAACGTCAAGCCGGAAACCAGCGATAGGCCTCGTCATGGGGGTAATCAGAAAAATACAAAAGAAAATCCATGTTAATTTATGTTGCCATTCTTGTGGATGGACTAAACCTTTGTATCTGTAATTTCAGTGTTCATTATATCATATCTCACCCAGAACACATTTTACAAATATTGATGAAACTGAAGTAAAATTTGATAGCAAATTGATTGCGACCAATTCTTTGATGGAGGAGCTACAATAAGCTTTTAAGCTACAAACAATATTACTGTGGTTGCGTCGCCACGTTCATGTTATCAATATAAATAACTGAAAATTAGAATTCGATATTAATTTAAATGTCTGGTTATTGGAGATCACGATATAGTGTATTGTATTGCAAAATATAAGGATTTTTTACTTTAATTATATTAATGTCATTATTTGCTATTTCAGTTTTTTTTTCCACAAACTTATGGTCCGTGTTGTTATTAATTTGTTTTCTATATTTCATTATGTTAAGCTTACTATTTTTTTCTTTTCATAACCGTTTATAGTTCAAATTCTTAAAATACGTTTAGTATAGGATCGTCATAAAACTTAGAGTTAATCGATTTTGGCTAACCTTCGTGTAGCCATCCAGTTTACAAAGAAATATAATTTTTTTTCGGGTAAATTTATATTTTGCATGTGGTAACACCACGCAATGCAAGCTGTCCGCGGTTTCTGTTGACCCGCTCTGCTGCGATGTTCACTGTTGTTTATTTTTATTGTTACCAATCAATTACTATGAGGTAGTCTTGGGCATAATTGTTCGCGACTCGGAGCGATCGATTTAGTTCGTTGCTGTTCTGCAAACTTCGTGATTACTACTGATCATTGCCTGCCTCACTGCTGCTCAAGCCGTGTCGTTAGAAGAACGAGCAAGAAACTTGCTTGTTGCTCTTTTAAATAATTATATAATAACTTTTCATTTTCAAGTTAAAATAATAATAATCTCAGGACAATTCAGACAGCGTCATCTCGATCCAAGTTAAAGATAAAGATAGATAAAGCTTGTGTTATACAAATACATAGATATACATTTGTTTTATAAATACTTATACATATATTACAAAAGTTTGTGCGAGGAATCGAACTCGCGACCATCGGAAGTAAGGCGGTCAACCGCTAGACCGCCGAGGTCATCGAAATATGTGAATGCAAACTACGAACTAGCACTAATTCATTAGAGTCAAAATATTGAATTCAGAAGAGCGGGCGTTTCGCGAACTTGTTCACTTAGAGAAATAGTTCGTAATAGAACTCCTAAAGACGAATTTAGGAGTGCTATTGCGAACTATTTCTTTAGTGAACTATACACAAGACTATTATTAGACAATGTTGACACCTGCCAAGTAGCGACTGTCCGACATAATAGTCAAGTTGTCGAGGCTTCATTTGCTTTGTTTGTGTCTATACAGACATTGTTTCTATTTAGATCAAATGCCTGTCTTCTGACCAGTGATGCATTTTTGGCATCTAGAAAGAAAAAAAACAAAATTGTTTATTTGGTACACTGAAAATAATTTTTAAATTTTAATTTACATTTTATCGGTTTAAATTAATTTTACAGTACCAAATAGGTCTCCGCTCAGCATATGTCGTGACGGGGTGCCACGACGCTGGTTTTGGTTTTTTTTTTTTAATAAATATAATAATAATAATAATAATACACATACATACGTAGACCTGCATCTACAACAGGAATGTACAATGAAATTGTCTCAGTTTCTTCACCTTTTATTAAGAATTATAATAAAATCCTTACTAATATCATAAACGTGAAAGTATGGATGTTTGTTACGCTTTCACGCAAAAACTACTTAACCGATCATCATGAAATGTACACATGTTTGGAGGTATTAGAATGAACATAGGTTACTATTAATTTTTTTTTAAATTATTTTTTTTATAAAAATAAAAAGAAAAATTTAACATTTTGCTACTTCAGCGCCATATAGCAGCCAGATAAGGTGTGAAGATCATTTATAGATTGAATGCTCGACGTCTCGTCTAGGTTGCCGCGCGCAAAAGTATTTGGAACATAATATTATTCTTAAACAATAATATACGAATGGTACATATCGTGTTTTTTATACATTATTTATTTTATATTGTTAATCCTTGACATTTTTTTTTTATTTATTTATTTTTTACGAATAACTATATCTTACTAATATCATAAACGCGAAAGTTTGTATGGTATGGTACTTATGTTTGTAACTCTTTCACGCAAAACCTACTGAACGGATTTTAATGAAACTTTACAGTAATATAGCTTATATATTATAATAATATATAGGTTATAATTTAGAAAGATACCTGTAATTATTGGACATATATAAATGTCAAGTAAGTGTAATGCAGACAAAGTTGTGTATATTTCCCTAACTTTGATATTGGCTGAATGCGAAGGCAAAGCCAAAGATGGAGGAGAAAAAAAAAGTTGCACGGGTCAGCTAGCGGTAAATACAAAGATAAGGTGTGGGAAGATATTTATAGGTATTTAAATTTAATCAAAAACAATAAGTCTTTCAAGGTTGCAAAAACAGTATTTTGAAAATGAAAACTCTAAAAAACAAAGGCTTTAATAGATTTTTATAAAATTTAATGTGCGTATCGGCTAGGTCTGAGAATCTGCCAACATCTATTTTTCATATCCCTCAATGATAAGGTTGACCCACCCTTAATATATTTTTTTACAGTCTTGACATTTTTTTTTTATTTTATTTCTTTTATGGTTTGGCATTAAAAAATTCATACAACCCTAAATCCTAGTAAAATTATTGCGAGGAGTGCTGTTGGGTTGTATAACAGTGATGTAGGTAGTAAATTCAAATCTTCTGCAATCATTGAAAGAGCGTCAAGTCATCTTCGATTAGGCGGCCGATTAATATCTGCTGGACGGGTTCTTTACGATATAATCGGCTGATTATCATTTTTTATTTCTTTTTCACGTGGTGACATTCCTGAAAATATTAAAAATAATAATTAAAACCCAGGGCAATTAACACAGCGCCATCTAGCCCCAAGCTAAGTAGAGCTTATATTATGAGTAGACAACTGAGAGAACTAAATATATTTATTTATATTTATATACTCTTTATTGCACTAGGAAAATTACATTAATTAAAATTAACAAAGTAATTACAATTAAGAGGGTACAAAATGCGGCCATATCGCTTATGCAATCTCGTTCAGACAACCTTTGGGTAGTGGAGAACAGACAAGAGGTGGGAGGTGGCACTAGAATAGAAGAAAAAAAACATAATAATTATATTATATGATTATGTGTCCTATGACCCCATACCTAGCAATATACCATGTCAGGTTGACCTCCACGCGGTTCCCCTTGAAAAGCATCGTGATAAATAAAGATAAAGTGGAGGACGTGACAAATTCCTGGTGAATCTGCCAGCGTAAACCATTGCCGCCGGCGGAAGCGCCCTTTCCTTACCATCCATAAAGAAAAGCCTCGGTATATAAGGCGAGTCTTCAGTTCAGATACATAGCTAAGTACATAGACTGATTGGCGGCAGAAATAGCCGAGAGGTGGGTTCTCCATCGTATTCAACCATCGACATTCCTGGTCAATTTGTCACGATATGCTAACTGACCTGACCTTATCATCTTATCAACCTCCACTGGTGCCCCGCCAGCGTATACAATACCATTCCATTGTCATATAAAATCCATTAAGCGTACCAGTTAACGTTATTTAGATTACAACAATAAAACTGCAATTAAACGCTAAATGCCAAAGGTGACGAAGTTAAATAAAGTTATTTTCTAACAGTAATAACTTATTTAGTCCGCGTGTTAACCGGCAATTAGGTCGTAAATAACTTCACAATAAATAAGTATTTCGAACTGACCTGCAATACTCTTCAGCCCCGCTATGACCTTAACCTCGTGCGTATTTAAAAAAAAAACCGTTGTCTTCAAGTGTGACCGTTTTCGTTACTGATGCCGCGAAAACATGTTATTGCATCTAATTTATCTCAAATAGCTTATCTTAGGAGTTAATTATGTTATCAAAGATGAACATTATCTTAAATTACTTTATATCTGTGATATAGTTGTAAATATTTATATTGTGAGAATAAAATGTAAATTACAAATAGGATAATGGTCCAAGAGATACTCACAAGGAAAGCATAGTTGTCAATTTAAAGCGTTATTAATTTTATCAAACAATTAACATTGAAGATAATGGGCTGAATAGTGATCAATTAATAGTTAAAAAGTATTTATAACTCCGTACTGCTTAAGTTTAAGTAAAATACACTTTGCAATAAAAAAATCAACCAATCTTAGTAATTTCATTTTTTAAACAATTTAATCTAAGAAATCTTTTTATATCGTTGTTGACTTCTTTGACAAATGGGTATAATTTTGTGCTCCGAATTAGTACCATCACTTGACGGGTGGACAATGCAACCATGGTAGAATATAGCAGAATACACAATTAATAACAATTATGGCATGGTGTCTAAGGTTTACGTATTGCAACGAAGTCTCGTTAATAAATAGTAATTTTTGATTGACTAGTGTTAATGTCAATGTCAAAATTGTTAACGCATGGCAGTATGAGCGTAGTTCCCTTTGCCTTTTCCTTAGAGGATGAACAGAACGAAAAAAAAAACTATTGAACGCAAAACTGAGGGCAATGTTCTTGAAGTTTCTGGAGAATTTGTACTGTTGAATAATGTAATTTTTTAAATTTATGCGTATTATTACTCATACATGATTTTTTTAGTCTACTATATAAACATATGTATACTCACTTGAGGAATATTTGTCTTATTAGTTGCAGTCAGTAGTTTTGGTGTTGTACTGAATTTGTCTTAAATGATGGGTACAAATCCTGAAAATAACCAAATAGCGGGTGCTCTAACATTTCCTAACAGAAGTCAGGATGTGAGATCTGTTCCTGTTCAGCCGCGGCAGCCCAGGAGTCTCCAGGTAAGATATACTACGTATATTTACTAATTTTCCTTATAATAAACTGATTTAATACAGCGTGATAAATCATAATGTTTCCCTTTCTCAACTTATAGAAAGACTGAATCTGGTTGGACCAAAAATATTGTGTTAATTTTTCGTTAACTTTTCATTGAGGCAATGAATTGATAAAATCATCTAAGAGAATCAAATCATAGAAGAAGGTAGAAGAAGATTTTTAGATTTAGGAGTCATTGCCATGGTTTCTACTATTTTACTTATTTCAATAGACAAGCAACTTGCTTTGTAACCAGTATTTCAGTTGTAGGGTAAGATATGGTAGTGTATTGGCTGGGTAGAACTTAGTTATAAGCTATATTACTGTAAAGTTTCATCAAAATTCGTTGAGTAGTTTTTGTGTGAAAGAGTAACAAACATCCATCCATACTCACAAACTTTCGCATTTATAATATTAATAAGATTTTACTCAAGTGAATTTCTTCTATTGGGTACTTTGTACTTGCACCAAATCTTAAAAATGTTAAGCTAGAAAAAGCTGTTAAAAGGACTCACTTGCTAGTTTCTTACATATTCATCTTGTGCTGAATTTGCATTCTGAATAAGTGGTAGAATTAAAAAAGAATTATAAATAGTGTTTATCTTTAACATTATCAATAAACATGAGATAAGTACTTTCAAAAGTTATGCACTTACATTTATTTGCATATAGGTTATTTCTAAATGAAATTTACAGGGTCTCCTGAGGTTTGCAATGGAAGCAACAAAAGCAGAAGATGCACCAGGGAACTCAGAATTTAGTCCTATGGATGATGAGGTGAGTCTTGTCCTCTTGATCTTCCTCCCTCCAGTCAACCCTCCATTCAGTTCATATGGGGATTGATATTACGATGGCCTAAGTCGAGATTCAATCACCTAGCCATGCCCTCAGGCTAAAGTTGAATTCGCCATGTAGAAGTTGGTCTTCAGATGCTCCATAAATCCTTAAGCAGGTTTAGAGTGCCATCAGCACTCGCCCCCTATCGTCTGATGAAGCTGTAAAGGCTAGCTGCGGAATTAGAGAAGTCCGAAAAAAACAATCACTTTCATCAATGAATAAAATATTGAAAATGTCTATAAATTGTCCATACAAAGAGTAATGTGATTCATTTAGTTTAAGACAAGTTCAATATTCATTTGGTGAAGCAGTAATGGCAAGCTGTGGTCAACAGCATTAGATTAATTAAAAAAAAACTGAGTCTTGGAAGAATTTGGAACATTTAGTTACCTGTCATGACTATAATTTTCATTGACTGCTTGCAATTGATAACTTTCTTTCTCGGTGATTGTGGTGATGGCAGCCTCAGTGGTGTAGCGGTTTATCAGCGGTTTAGTACACCACTTTACTTCAGATGGTCGCGAGTTCGATTCCTTGCACAGTGCAAACATTCATGAGTATCATTGTTTGTATCCATCTGGGTGTTATCTATGTATTTACAAAAAATATATCTAAGTATTTATATTAGTTGTTTAGTACCCATAACAACTCTGCTTACCGTGGGACTAGATGGTGCTGTGTTAATTGTCCAGGGTTATTTATTTACAACGCCATCTAGTGCCAAGCTAAGCTGAACTTGTGTTATGGGCAATAGTGATATAAATACATAATATAATATAAATATAAATACACAATATATATTTTTTTTAATTATAATTATCTTTATATATTAATTAATCATTCACAGAGGCGCAAATTCCTCGAGGAGGCATTAAAGAGTTTGACAGTGAATGTGGCGGAAGTGCTGCAGAGTTCCATCAAAGTGTTGACTGAGACGGAGAAGATCAGGAGCATCCAACTCGGGGAACCGCTGCCCAATGATGTGGACCTGGCATTCAACAACCTGCTGGAGTTCATTGATGATATTGATGTCGCTAATGGTATGTGCTTTTGATATTTCCTATTTCTTTTTTGTATAATCAAAGAAGAAGCGAAGTGTAAAGAAGAAAAGGGAAAACAAAGAAGAGAGGATTGCTTTTCCAGTTTGCGCTAGCCATATATGCTGGATTAACACCAATGAAGGATGATAGGATGGGCATGAGTTAGGTTCGTTAGCCTATTGTAATGAATTCAACAGGAATTTACCACAAGGTTTCCTGGAGGACGCATGGATGTCAATTTGACATTGTACAATAGATAGCAATGGGGTAATCAGTCCTCATTACTAAAAATTTCCCTAACCCCATTTCTATGTATATTATGCACATATTTACAAATATATTTATATCAGTTGTCTAGTACCCATAACGCAAGCTCTGCTTAGCTTGGAACTAGATGGCGCTGTGTAAATTCACCAGGGTTATTACTAGCAGTGCCCACGACTTCGTTCGTGTGGTTATTAAAAACACTTCATGCATATTTTTTGGGTAACTTATGAACCGTTTATGCAGCGCACGCAACGGAAGTCCTCAAATATGAATCATTTTCCCTGTTTTTGCAACATGTTTCACTGATGCTTCGCTTCTATTTGTCGTAGCGTAATGTTATATAGCTTAACGCCTTACTCAACAAATGGACTATCCAACACAAAAATATTTTTTCAATTCTAACCTGTACTTCCTGAGATTAGCGTGTTCAAACATACAAACTCTTCAGCCTTATAATAATATTATTATTTTACATTCATTTATTTTACAGATTTCTACAAAATGGGAGGCTTTGCTGTCTTCCCAATCTGCTATGGTAGTGAGAATGAGGAAGTACGAGCTCGGGCCAGCTCGGTGCTGGCGGAGACGTGCCAGAACAACCCGTACTGCCAGAGCAGAGCCCTCGAGTGCGGCCTCCTCAACGTCCTGATACATTTGGTGCAGTCCGAACGGGGAAACGCGCTCGCTAAATGCTTGTATGCTATATCATGTGAGTTCTGTTTTTTTTGTAAATTGAATTGGTAAACCTAAACGTAAGTTTAATTTTAGCAATAACGCTGGCAATATTATCTGATGCACAAGAAAGAGTGCGTAGCAGTTTCTATGTTGATTTATCGTATGCCTACTTCTTATATTATATTTATTTCAATAACATTTTTCTTGCTCGTTTTTCTTGTGATGTTTTGACGTATTGAATGCGTGGTAGATTAAAAAAATATGATTATTTAAAAGTGCCTATTTCAATAAATATTATTTCCATTTCTCTTTGTTTCACGTAATTATTAAATGATTATTTGTACTATACGTCTAAGATTTTTATTAACAGGCAATTAAAATTAATACCAAAACAAATAGTTTTATTTGATTATGCTCCAATAAAACTATTTGTATATTTCCAATAATGATGCCATACTTGTTGCAGGCGTGTGCCGTGAATTCGAGCCGGCCGCGCGCGAGTTACTCAGCCAGGGCGGGGCGGCGGTGCTGGCGACTCTGCTGCGGGCCCAAGAACCAGCCGCACGAACCCGCGTCGCATTCCTAGTGCGGCACCTCGCGCATCACTACGCTGAGGCGAAAGGTATAATAAAAAGATATTTTTAAAAAGCCAGGATTATTTTTTTCCCAAGCTAAGCAGAGCCTGTTTTATCAGGGTACCAGACAATTGATATAAATACTTAGTTACATTTTTTTTGTAAATATATAATATACATTGAAAACACCCAGACCAATACAAACATTCACACTCATAATGTAGCATTTGGGGGGGAAAGAGGATTGTTAGTAATGTGGACTGATGATCTTATTGCTAGCAATGTACCATGTCAGGTTGACATCCACGCGGTTCCCCGTGGAAACCATCGTGATCAATTCTTGGTGCATTTGTCACGATCGGGTAACTGACCTGACTTCATGCTCATCTTATCATGCTCCACTGGTGCCCCGCCGGCGTAAACCGTCAGCGCAGGCGAAAGCACCATTCCATTATCATCGTAAAAAAAAAGTAGCACGCACCAATCCAAAATAGCGGTGGCTTTATTCTACAGTACAGTATTATTTGAGTATTTAATTGAATTAGTGCTAATTGGTGGTTTGTATTCACACACTTAAACTTAAAAATGTAAAGTAATAATAAAATTATTTAAAAGAGCAACACGCAAGTTTCTTGCTCGTTCTTCTTGTGATGAGACAGCTTTCCGAACGAGCGGTAGATTATAAAATGTAATGACTATTCAAAAGTGCTTCAATGTAAGTTTATTTGAATAAATGATTTTCTATTCTATTCTATTCTACATAGGGACTTATGCGAATAAATCGATGTTCAAAAACTCGTAGACAATAGCAAATATAATGCACACTCGTACCTTGTTCTGCTAATGCCTTTGATGATTCATCTTCGGTAGATCCGGTCTTTGAATACGTGAGGTGAGGTTGAATGCAGAGATAATTTTCGCAACGATGGACATACACTCGCGCCGTAGTCACAGATACAACTGGGCGTGTGCATGGCAGCTTGTACGACTGCTATTGTTATGCGTTACGAGTAATAAACATCGATATTGAGGGTATATAAAAAAACTAACGATAAAATTAATCTAGAAAGTTCGCGACGAACCACATAAATAAAAATGTTTGTGCGCTGCGAGCAATCGAACCAGCGACCATCGGAAGTAAGGTGGTGTGCCAAACTAGACCACAGAGGTCGTCAATATATCGTCAATGTTTATTTATATAATATACCTATCAGTTGTCTAATATTACTGATACAAGCTCTGCTGTGAGTGAGTTATCCAGCCATGGTTATATATGTAAGATATATCAACTCTATGTACTAGTAAAAGTATGTATTATAATAAAATAACAACTCTATAACATTAATTTAACTATGTCTCTAACACAATTCACTTTAGCATTTAAAATACAACCAGCACATCCTGTGCTCAAAGACCGAATGCCGCGGCTTACAAAAACCCTCCCTTTTATACAGAGAAGATATGAGTGGGGGTTATACGCAACTAGTTTAACGATACCGAGTAATAATGAAACTAACTTCTTTTAATATTAAATATCAGATTTTTCGACAATATCGATGTGAACCCTGACATATATAATTATTTTGTTGTTTTGTATTTCCAGAACAATTTATCCAAAACAATGTAGTCCGGATCGTCATAGAACAACTTAGATCAGGAAGGGATGACACTTCAGAACACTTCCTTGGCATTCTCCTAGCCTTAGTCGAAGGCCTGGAACCGATCGTTCTCGAGCAAGCCAGGGATCCTAGTCTGAACCTGAAGAAAGTGCTAGAAGATCATCTCAAGCATCCAGAGCTGGAGTATTCATATATAGAAGAGAAGGAATACTGCCAGGAGATACTACGGCAAGTGTTTGATAATTGTTCTCCCATAGAAGTGTTGAGCGATGAAATAGCAGATAGATAGTTCTGGAAGCTTCTAGAATCTATATATTAGCAGGGTTCCTTGAGCTGGTCTATAGGGGCCGTTCAAGTATTACGTAAGCACTATAGGGGGGCGGGGGGTCTTTTCTTTGCTTATTTTGGATGACATGGGGGTGGGGGAGTCTGTATGATGATTACGTCATCGGTCGTAATTTACTTTTTTACACGAATGGCAACCCTCACATTGTCTTTGCTAAAAAAACAATACATTAATTGAGAGATGTTTACGTAAGCATGGGTGGAGGGGGTAAGAGCTTTGCTTACTTTTGCTGACAACGGGGGATGGGGGGTAAATAATTGTGATAAATCTGCTTACGTAATATTTGAACAGCCCCATAGGTAAGTAGTCACTATAAGGTCCTTTTAATCAACGTCAGGGTTTCATAGTTAGTTAACTTCACGAGTTAGCTATTATTTATGCCATACATTAAGGGCCAGAGGGGCATTGACAAATTGTGAATCTGTTGGTGTAAGTAGTTATAAATACCTTCCAAACGTTATATTTAAATCTAATATATAGAATTCTCGTGTCGTGGTGTTTGTCACCAAACTCCGAAACGGCTTTACCGATTTTTTATGAAATTTGGTGTACTCAATGATAGAACAGTAAAATAAAAAGAATGTATTAAATATATTTAATACATTTTTTTTTCACTTCTGATTTATTTTTATTATATTGTGATTTTGCATTGAAAAATACATAAACTTAAAATTTTCACCCTTTTACGATCAACCCCTGTTTTTTACGGCGATATTAGTACGTCAATTTATATGGTAACAACGTTTGCTAGGTTAGTTAGTATATACATAAAATAACTCATATTATAAGTATTATATAACAATGAAAAACTCTTTTATATCCCTGATTCGGTAATAGTAGCGTAATAATATGGCGGCAGATCTTGTGAAATACAATTATGGTATTTTACTTGTTTTTATGCGAAGCCAATCTTATATTTATAGATAATAAATAGACACCCTCGGTGGTCTAGCGGTTTAGCACAGCGCGTAACTTGCGATGGTCGCGGGTTCGATTCCTCGCACGACACAAACATTCGTATTCCTGAGTAGGATTGTTTGTGTCGGACTGGGTGTTTTCAATGTATAAAAAAAAATTGTATAAGTTATCTAGTACCCATAACACAAGCTTAATCTAGCTTAATTTGGGACTAGATGGCACCTTGTGAATTCTATTAAGATTATTATTATTATATAGTTAACTAAAGTAATGTATTTAGCCATTTTAAGAAACTATAACAATGTGGGACCTGGAGGTCCCGTCCTATGATTTCGCCACTGCAATTGGCATAGTCATGTCATTGTTAGGACCTAATTTATTAATCTAAGTTTGTATTTAAATGTTAACTATATTGTGCTCATGTGTGTGTGTGTATATTTTGTATATACTTATTGTAATTATAAGCATGTATGTTGGAAATTAAATTAATACAACTATATGGTCATTTCATTCAATTGTGTACAATTGTAACTGTTTATTGACGACTAATTTTGAAAGACTGCTCAAAAGATGTCACTCGTTTGTACCCGATACTTTGATAAATGTATATAATGTTGAATGGCGTTCCTCCACCGTGCGTTTTGTAGAAATTTTGTGACATATAATCACATTAAGGAGGAGATTAAGTACTTACCATCAGGTGAGCTGAGAAAGTTATATGTTTTAGTGTCAAGGGTACGTTAAAGGTAAGTATATATCAGGGTAAGAACACCTGACATCATTGACGTCAGGAATAACAACGCATAAAGCTTATCACGATCATCACATGATGACGTGATGTATGTACGTGCTGTTCATGTATTGGAAAATAACGGTAGACCTTGTGGTAAGGCAACGGTACCTACTTACCATCAAGTTCGCCGTCAGAAGGTTACCATTCCAGTCCCATAAAAAAAAACTTTGTTATCGGTGTTAACCTGCTGACTATACCATGGGATACAAATGTACCTAAAGATCATACAATAAAATAAACGAATTAACGAAAAATGGTTATATGCTTAATTTATATACGGTCGAAGTGGGAGCGAGAGGTATACCAGCAAAATCTCTGCAATCTAAAGCACGTTGGCCTGTTTATAACTACAGTAAGTTCTATATTAGAACTCCTACCAGATTTGTCTGGGTAGGGAGAGAAACACGAGCAGTGAAGGTGAATGTTCACGTATGTCGACAAAGGGCTCTGTAAATCTACGCCCTTGTCAGTCCTGGGAACTGCTCGGAGTCTCCCTCTCTGCCACACGATGGACCCGGCAGACACGATGGATGATCTTATTGCTAGCCATATCAGGTTGACGCGCGCCCTGGAATCCATAGTGATAAATTCTTGTTGAATTTGTCATGATGGGCTAACTGACCTGACCTCATGTTCATCTTATCATCCTCCACTAGTGTCCCGCCAGCGTAAACCGGCAGAGCAGGTGCACCATCCATTATCATCCTTAAAAAAAACCATGGAATGCTAAAAAGTTCGTTCAAAAAACGAGTTTCACAATTTTATACCGAAACTTTTAGTGCTTTATTCTAATACTGGCTTTTGGCCGCGGCTTCGCTCGCGTTAATTTATCCCCTTAGGGGTGGAATTTATCAAAATCCTTTCTTAGGGATGCCTACGTCATAGTAGTTTTATGCATGCAAAGTCTCAGCCCGATCGGTTTAAAATTGACAAAGTTTCATACAAACTTTCATCCCCTATTTTATCCCTTTGGGGGTAGAATTAATCAAAATCCTTTCTTAGCGGATGCGAACGTCATAACATTTACCTGCATGCCAAATTTTAGCCCGATCCGCCCAGTGGTTTGGGCTGTGCGTTGATAGATCACTATGTCAGTCACCTTTGAGTTATATATATTTAGATATTAAAATAAAATAAAATTCTATTATATTAAAAACTATAGTCAATATATAAGACATCTTTATTATAGTTGAAAAAAACTCTGTACATAACCTACAATTTCGCATAATCTGTTGTACACACGTAAATGTGTTTGCTTCTCGAATATTTCTATGTATACTTCCACCATAAGAAGTACTAAATACGCAGAAAACACTGTGACACCCGTCCAGGCGCGTTCCTTAGGATTACTGTAGCTGAATCTAGTACTTCGGTCCATTATTTATGATTTACACAAGTGTATAGACCTTCTAAATTATTTAGGTTAAAATTGAAACGAAAACTATTGTCTATGCTACTAAATTCACTCTGTACCTAAATCACGGCGTAGTATTTGAGTTGGCGCGAAATCAAGGTAGATATTTTTAGACGGCTCTATACAATTCTTGTCTCTGTAGCCTAGTGTTTTATATTAGCACAGATTATTTAGAATTAGGAAAACCACCGAAATAACTGAAAGACAATTGCACTTGTACTAACTATAACTAACTAACTCGTATTTTGAGAAGGGTGTGTGATGTGCATATACCCACACACAAGCACCATTAAACGCCTGCTCGCTTCCTGCCAGCAAACATCATACGGCAAGAGTCAGCAGGCGTATAACCAACTCCCGTATGTGGGGCCCTGCACATCACTTCCTCCAACCTTGTACATATAAATTACACCTTGCTTGGTGTTTTTTGCTTTATCTGTGGTATTTCACCTTTCTCTTAAGAAATTGTATGTATCTAAAATTTGGCAGACATCTCTACCTATATTGGTGTATAACAAGAATTGCTTAAAAAAAACAAAACAAAAAACCGCGGGTAAAAGCTAATATACATAGCATTTCTTTAGTACTTATACCTTATTACTATATACACTGTCGGATTAAGACAGGACTATAGGGGGCGAGTGCAGATGGCATTCCGAACCAAAGGAAGTACTTAGAGGAGCGGCTGAAGGCGAACTCCCGCCTGACGGATACGACTTTAGTTTGAGAGCACTGAGGGTCGAACCACGTCTCAGGCAGTTGTAATTTCAATTCCCGTTTGAATTGGAGGAGGAGTTAATTGGAGACTACAGCATGGCGTTTTACAAGAAGGGTATATTAAGGTTTCTTAAGCCGCGCCCAGGTTGATTGCACGGTATGGTGTGGTTGAGGTCATCGTCTTCGCTAACGAGGACGTTGTCGTGTGTGTGTAGAGAAAGCGTGATAGGGATGGAATGGGTGGATACGGTAGGAGGCTAGCTGCCGTTATGGGGTCTTTGGGATCAATAAGAACGTGCCTCGGGCGGCGTTCTCGAGGAGTCTTTTTTTTATGGATGATAATGGTATAGTTCACACGCCTGCGCTAATGGTTGTCGCTGGCGGGGCACCAGCGGAGGATGATAGGATGAGCATGAGGTCAGGTCAGTTAGCCCATCGTGGTAAATTCACCAGGAATTTAATTTAAATTTAAAACGATGGTTTCCAGGGGGATTCGCGTAGAGGTCAACCTGGTACATTGCTAGCAATGGGGTTCATAAGTCCAGATTACTAATAATTCCCTCTCCACCCCCCCTATCTCGATGCAATAGGTAGTTACTGAGTATATATTTATATTTTAAAAATTACGTGTCACGTTTTTCCGCGATGGACTCGTAAACTACTGAACCGATTGCAAATTAGATTTGGATATTGTGTGCAATTTGATCCAACTTGAAAGATAGGATAGCTTACATCTCAATTTATAGTCGCTATATTATTTTATTCAAGAACCTTAGCCACAGCCACTCGTGGCCGTGTCTGCTAGTAGAATAAGTAATAAAAAAGAGCTATAAACTAAAATATTGTAATTAAGTATAGCCACATAACAGTCATAGACAATAAAAATCTTCAATGCAATGCTTCTATTCATTGATCTCTAGGGGTGTCTTAATTTCTGCATCTGCGGCTAAGTGGAGGGGTTGACTCTTGTCTTCCAAAGTCCAGTCGAAGTCGATGCCGGTCACTTCTGTGTACCAGTCGTGGTAATGACCAGGCCGGACGTATGCTGGAATGATAAAATGATATTTCAGGACAATTCGCTCAGTACTGAATGATAAAATGATATCCAGGACAATTTACACAGTGCTAAATGATAAAATGATATCTCAGTGCAATTCACACAGCGCCATAGTTCCAAGCTGTTTAATTGTCTAGTACCCATAACACAAGCTTTAAGCAGAGTTTGTGTTATGGGTATTAGACAAGTATAATTAAAAATTTTCTTTGTAATCCTTACTAAATAAATGCGAAAGTAACTCTGTCTGTTTGTCTGTGCACTTTCATGCCAAAACTACTGAACCGATTTAAATGAAATTTGGTACACAGATAGTTTAGAACATGAGAAAGGACAATGGCTACTTTTTAATGCGAAAAAAGAGCTGTAAGGGAGATATCGTCATGTTTAAAGCTAGAGGCTTGACACTTGTTTTTAGGCTGTTGATTGAATATAAATAAATGTGACATTCAAAATGTGTAACCCTTAAGGGGTACAAATTTTCATCCCCTATTTTATTTCACCTAAAATAGGGGATGAAAATTTGTCATTCGTTGTCTATTCCACGCGAACGAAGTCGCTAGAAAACGTAGCTGTACCTGCTAGTACATTTTATATATAGAAAACACCCAGACCATTCATATACTGTTCGAGAAATCAAACCCACGACCATCGGAAATAAAGCAGTATACTAATACCACAGATAACATAATATTACATACTAATACATAAAAGTTGTTTCATGAGGAAGAGACCTTACAAGATAAGTTGAAAGAAGAAGAAGTTAAATAGTTAAGGTAAATAAAAACATTACCTGAAGGGAAGGGACTGTTGCAGCCGGCTGAAGACCCAAAGCTGACGATGCCCACCATTGTAATTTGACCGTCTTCATCCACGACCGTCAGCGGACCACCACTGTCGCCCTGGTGACAATAAAATTACGCAAATTGTAACTTGAAAATGTAAAGTAAATAATAACAACCCTGGAAAATACACAGCGCTATCTTGTTCCTAAAATACCATTCTACCTCCATTTTTGTGTAATATTGCTACGAATAGTCATATAAGGAACATATTCATAAATTACGTTAGACCGCATTAATTTTTTTTTACCCCTATGCTTCCTAAATCATATTAATAAAAAAAAAGAAAAATGATGTCACAAAGTACATGATCCTTTCAAAAATAAAATTAAAAAATAAATTGGAATGGAACAGGTACATTCTAAATTTATAATAAAAATAATAAAGTATTATAAAAATAAATTTAATAAATACAATTAGAATGTACCTACCTCTATATAATAATTGTAAGGTATAAACGTCTTAGCATTTATTTGTAAGTTTATATTCTACTAGCTTTATTTATCCCCTTAGCGGCTTCGCTGCCTACGTCATAGTTTATTTATCCCAATTAACAAAGTTTAATAAAAACTTTCATCCCCTATCCCTTGGGGTAGAATTAATCAAAATCCTTTCTTAGCGGATGCCTACGTCATAACATCTACCTGCATGCCAAATTTCAGTCCGATTCGTCCAGTGGTTTGGGCTGTGCGTTGATAGATCACTATGTCAGTCACCTTTGGGTTATATATATTTAGATTGATTTAATAGATAAAATAATTACCTGACAGGAAGATTGTGCCGTATCATTATAATACTCCGCGCATATAGTTCTGTCCTGTACTATACCACTGGAATACCACTGTCTACACTCGTCATTGGAGATGCCTCTCAGGAACACCCAGCGCAGCACCTCAGAGACTGCACCGCCTGTATAAAAGAACAATTATAATTAATAGCTCAGTTTGTTCAGCTGTTTCGGAGGAGTATGGCAATGAGAATTATATTTTAATGCTGTTGGCCGTAGCCGGCCTTTACAGCTTCATCAGACGATAGGGGGGCGAGTGCAGATGCAGCGGCTGAAGGCCAACTCCCGCTTGACGGATATGACTTTAATCTAAGGGACCGCTAGGGGTTCGAACCTCGGCTCAGGCTGTCGTAATTTCGATTCCCGTTTCAATTGGACGGGGAATCGATCTGAGGGGCAACCGGGGGCACCGGTGTGGAGCGTCAGGGCGCGCGCAGGCGCCCGGTTGATTGCGCGTATGGTGTTTGGGGTCGTCGTCTTCGCCGGCGAGGACGGTGTCGTGTGTGTGTCGGAACATATATGTGTGTGTGTGTGAGTGTGTGAACCCGTGAGGAGGTTAACTACCGTTATGGAGTCGTGCGTCGTAACAACGTGCCTCGGGCGACGTTGTCGCGTATGTTGGATATGTCTCCTCGGTGCATATAAGGGACTGTTTAGTCAAAACGAAAACAGATTCTGATGAAAGGTCTGAATCAGATGGCAGATTATTTTCCAACTGGAAATGCCATATAATTAATAATTCTTAGTTTTGACGCCGCGCAATGTGATTTTACGACGCGGAGTATCGCGCGCGGTGACCCGTCAGAACATGTATTAATACGTGAATTACAGTAGTACGTGAATTCCTAGTTTAATTTTTTGCCAATCCGTCCCTTACACCCTGTATATAATAATAATAATCTTAGGACAATTCACACAGCGCCATCTAGACCCAAGTTAAGTTAGCTAAAGCTTGTGTTATAGGTACTAGAGAACTGATACAAATACGTAGATTTTTTTTTGTAAATACTACATATTTTAAATAGAAAACATCCAGACTTATACAAACAATCATACTCATGAATACAAATGTTTGTGCCGTTCGAGGAATCGAACCTGCGACCATCGGAAGGCGGTGCGTTAGACCACTGAGGTCGTCGAATATAAGATAATTATTACCATTCCACGGGTCGTCTGTCCGTCCGTAGCCGCTGACTGTGAGCCTGATCCCGGTGTAGTCCAGGTTACGCTGGGCACTATTCTGCAGGCGGCAGGGTTGGATGTATTCTGAAGGGAATTAAAAACATCCAAATAACTATTTTTATAGAAGCCAACTACGACAGTGTCGTGGCGTACTGACGTGGCGTGGATGACTGTTGGACTTACCCGCGACTTCGTTCGCGTGGAATTTAACTTTATTGTTCTAAAATAAAAATAGCCTAAGTTAGATCTTGTTACATCAGCTACTTGCCAAAAAAAGTCCCATCAAAATTGGTAAAGCCATTTCAGAGATTAGTCGGAAAAAACAGGCAGATAAAAATTGTAGATAATGTTATTTTGGAGTATGTACCGTATTTATATTCATATGCTTGTAGTAATAAACGGTTATTTCAACATTACAAACAGACACTACAATTTTATTTATATATATAGACTAGCAAACCCGCGCAACTTGGTTTGATCATTATATTACGCCCAATCAACATATAATATATACAGAATAACACATCGTAATAATGTTTCATTAAGTAAAAAGTCAAACAGTACCAAACATCCATCCATACTCACAAACTTTCGCGTTTATAAAAATACTAGCTTTTGCCCGCGGCTTCGCTCGCCTTAATTTATCCCCTTAAGGGTGGAATTTATCAAAATCATTTCTATGGGGATGCCTACGTCATAGTAACTTTATACATGCAAAATCTCAGCCCGATCGGTTTAAAATTGACAAAGTTTCATACAAACTTTCATCCCCTATTTTATCCCCTTGGGGGTAGAATTGATTAAAATCCTTTCTTACCTACGTCATAATATCTACCTGCATGCCAAATTTCAGCCCGATCCATCCAGTGCTTTGGGCTGTGCGTTGATAGATCACTATGTCAGTCACCTTTGAGTTATATATATTTAGAATAAGATTAAAAAAAGAATTTTTATTCTGTTCAAACTTACGGCCATAAGGTACGGAGGTGTCGATGCCAACAAGAGCAATGTCATCGGTCTGCACGGAGCCGGAGCCCTCGTTGTACCTCGGGTGGATGTACTTGCGGGTGCTCTCAATCAGGAACTGAGGACGGGTCAGATTTGTCAGGCCGAAGCGGACCACGAAAGTGAAACGGCTGGAATTAAAACGTTTTGTCAGTGAAGCATATTTTGGTGAATGAATGAATGAAATTGATTATTGTTCCTCTCAAAGAATCTAAAAATACACAATTATGTATAAAAAAAATTAAGTAACAACGGGAGGACTTATCGCTGAAAACTGATCTCTTCTTAAGAATGGAGAAAAGTGATGAGCCTCGCGTCTGGTAGAGGTGGTGTAACAATAATAAAAATTTGTAATTCATCATTCACTTCCATAAAATATGATTTGGATTCTGTTAAAATGACAAATAGTTGTGTAACTTATTTTCAATTTTGGATGCTTCGGTTCTACTAGGATTTCATAAATTGACAAGATGTCGATCGCAAAAGCCAAACAGGAAAAATATCTGTCTGTCTGTGTTTTATTTAAAAGGTACTAGAATTATTCGAGGTATGTTTACACTTCTACAATTTATAACTTCTTTTTCTTAAAAAGTGTACGTACCAGGTAATTATAAATGTAAAGAAGTCTTAATTTAAGTAACGACTCCAAATATATTATACTCCAAATATTACTAATTACAATAAATAGTGTTGCTGTGTCAGAAAATTAGTTGTAATTTATACCAGGTTCACATAAACGAAGTAGAAGATTGTTCGTTTTTAATATTATTTTATTTACGATATCGAAATATGTGTTAAGGGGATACCGCCATATGTAAACACATTTTTTTAAAACTACGATGTTAGCAAACTAGCGTTAGGTTTCTTTGTTGAATAAATGTAGGTATCAGTTATTATTTTATAAAAATTAGAGGTAAGTTGATGCTATCCTTCTTTGTATCTTATACTTTTAGGTCATCATCTGTAAGAGTGAGTGAGATAAAGATATTGTACTCTTAAGTGTGTTGTGTTGAAGTCACTCGTCTACCTTCCTTCTCACTCCAACGTCTAACTTGTTGTATTAGTCCGTATAATGTTGAAGACATATTGGGGTCTCCTTATACTTCATGTACTCCTAGTATTTACTATTATTTTATGAATAAATGTTACACTACTTAGTTTCGGGGCAAGATGTAATTAGATGATGAAATGATGTCACCTGCGTAAATGTTGTGTTAGTGGGACGTAAGTGAAGAATAATTAGAATGAGAACAAAATCAGGTCATAACTGACCAGAGCTTGCGCTCAACATGGGGAATTGTTTCCAAATTAACCATAAAGGTTTTCAGGCGCAATTACGTCAAGCGTGACTGTTACATTGCTATTAATGGACCCTATTAGATAGTCTTCATTGCTTCACTTCAGCTCTATTTTTCTATAAAATGACATTTTGGGGTCTCCAAATCGGAATGGAAAATATTTAACGGAAGCTATAACAAAAATTTTTGGTGTTAAATCTTAACATGATGACTCACTTGCCAACACAGTGAGCTGCAGTAATGACCCAGTTGTTGTGGATCACGGAGCCGCCACACGAGGACACGCCACCAGCCGCGCTCACCATCCGCAAGCTGATCTGGTGAGGGATCTGACCATCTTCTGCCTCCCAGCCAGCTACGACGCGGGAGTTGGCATCTGCACGAATAAAACATGTTACGACTTGTTTTCCAACTTCGAACGTTATGAGAAGCGTTTTGGACACAGTTACATCAATATAATAATTGCAATTAATTATGACTAGTAAGAAAAACTCAATATTGTCTACTAAGCACTGCCGTGTCTAAACTGTGTCACCCAACCTTATATTTTCCTATTGTCATTTAGTATATAAGATCAATATTTCTATGTACATATTGTCAGTCTATTATCATCTGTAATATACATCCTCTCAACCGACAGCCTCGTATCATTTACTCGAAACAAGGGAATAAAGCATAAGTTAAAATTGAGTCAAATATCACTTTAAACTTTAAGTTTGTAACTTTCTTTTACTTCCTTTTCCCCTATTTTACATTCTTATTTTTCCCCCTTTAGTTCTCTCTTCATATCTCCAGCATTTTCTTACTCCTTCATACTTTTTTAAACTTTATTTTTGATACTGTATTTAAATATTTATTCATAAATTTTGTATATTTTTATAGCAAATAACATTTTACTTGTTATATATTTTTAGGACATGACTAATTCATATTAGGGCACCGCCAGCAATCTTTCTCTGCACAACTCATGGATGCCTGGTAGTTAACGCCGCAAGAAGTCAAGTTACATGTAACTTGCATTAAGTAAATTCTTGATTTATTGAAACAGTCAACTTATATAAAGAGAATAATTCTCGAGTCATATTTGAGAACTGATAATATCTTATTTTTTTAATATCAAAATGGAGAGTGACTTCAGCGAAAATATAACCAATTACCATCTATTTGAAATTTTTACATTTTAGAATAACTTTATTAAAAACATTTAAGTGAACGAAGTGTCTACTTACTGCTACGGATATCCTCTATGTAGGCAGGTTCGCCATCCAGCCGAATTGGGTCACCCTGGAAGACAAAGTCTCTTTGTAATACATTTAATAGATACAGGGGTTGTCAACGCCAAATTTCTAAAAACAAGGATTTGAAGTTGGAATAACCGGGACAATTAAGTTTAAAACCATGACTCTGTAGTATACTCGTTATAATTATATTATTATATAATATCAATAGTTATATAAGTAATGTAAATATAATGTAGAAATTTTGAAAATAGATCTTATCAATTTTAAAACCCAGGACGCTAAATACTATCAAGTTATAATTATATTATTACATAATGTCAATAGACTAAATCAATAAAATTCATGTAATGGTAATAATACTCTACAATTCGAGCAAGTATTGTAAAAATGGCGCGAGAATTTTGAAAATACATGATCTTATCAAGGCGTTTTAAAACCCAGGACGCTGCTTAAATACTATCCAGGACACCCCAGGACACTACAAAAACTAGGACATATCCCGGGAAAACGGACGGTTGGCAACTATAATTTAAGGGACTAAGAGAGAAAAGACGATAAAAACTTCGAAGACTCAAATAAGTATATGCAAAGTATAATCTAGCATACACTTGGGACAACCTTATTGTAGATTTTTTTTATATGGGTGACAATGGAATGATGCACCAGCCTGCGCTAACGGTTTACGTTGACGGGGCATCAGTGGAGGATGTCAAAATGAACATAAGGCCGGGTCAGTTGGACTATCCTGACAAATTCACAAAGAATTTATAACGATGGTGTTGGAAACTATTTTTATACCTTTTTTATTATCTATGTTTTTTTATAATATTATATTGTTTTTATATGACATAAGTCAATTCAATACAAAAAATATTCTACATACTACAACGGTGCCGTTTTACTTTTTGCTCGTCATCTTGATCTCCATCCTTCACAGATGGTTTCCAGGGAGAACCGCGTGAAGGTCAACTTAACTTGGTAAATTGTTAGCAATGGATTAGTTCACATTACTAACAATTCGCTTCCTCATTATTGTGGATATTTTTATGGGTATTAATAGAAACATATATATCATGTTTACTGCTACTGTTTAGGTTGAAGAGTAATCGTCTATCATGGTATGGACATGTAATGCGTAGGAATGAAGATAACATTTTAAGAAAGGTGTTATATATGAATGTGGATGGTTATAAGGGCAGAAGAAAACCGAAAAAGAGATGGATGGACTGTGAAAGATGATATGGTAAGAAGGTGAGTGAATGGCGCGATGACTGCGAACAGGGATGAATGGAAGCGAAAAACATATTACGCCGACCCCAAATAAATGGGATAAGGAAGAAGCAGATGATGATATCATGTTTACTGCATATGCTAAAGAGTCACCAGTGGAGGATAATAGCATGGGCATAAGGTCAATTCAAATAGGCCAGTTCTAAATTCATCACGGATTAAGAGGTTCGCACGTAATCATTCTGACATTGTACGTTGCTACCAATATGGTTTCTGTAGTCTAATGGTTTAGTACACCTATACCGGGTTCATTTCTTTCTATACTACAAACATAGTAATCATGAGTATGTTGGTATTAGTCTGGATGTTTTCTATATATATTAATATATACAATAATGTATCTAAGCATATATAGTACCACTTGTCTAGTACCCGTAATACAAGCTCTGCTTACCGTGAGACTAGATGGCGCAGTGTTAATTGTCCAGGATTACGTATTTATATATTATGTCGAATTTCTACCACTGAGCGACCAAATATTATTATTATGTACAGCTCTACAATAAATTTGTGTACCAACACAATAACAATCTGATCACTTCAAACCCGGCATTGATAACGTGATAGCATTTGTAGAATCTCGGACAATTATAATAAATGTTAATCACTTCATATCTCGTGTCAGCAGAACGCCTAATTTTTTATCTACAGACGATTAATAACGGAGATTAAAATGTACCTAAAACTAATTTAAGTAGCCGATAATATTTATCAATAATATATCTTCCACTATTAAATTATTCCTCTCAAACAATCAAAGGTTGACTATTATAATAATGTGTGCTTGGACAATTCACACAGCGCCATCTAGTTCCAGTTGTTATGGGTACTAGACAACTGATTGGTATACTTAGATATATATATAGATCGTTCGCCATCCTACTGCGGCTAAGCGCCGTGCAATATTGTGCATTGTGCATCTAAATATATATAACTCAAAAGTGACTGACATAGTGATCTATCAACGCACAGCCCAAACCACTGGACGGATCGGGCTGAAATTTGGCATGCAGGTAGATGTTATGACGTAGACATCCGCTAAGAAAGGATTTTGATTAATTCTACCCCCAAGGGGATAAAATAGGGGATGAAAGTTTGTATGAAACTTTGTCAATTTTAAACCGATCGAGCTGAGACTTTGCATGCATAAAACTACCATTACGTAGGCATCCCCTAAGAAAGGATTTTGAAAAATTCCTCCCTTAAGGGGATAATATAACGCGAGCGAAGCCGCGGGCAAAAGCTAGTCTATAATAAAATTGTGTACAACATAATAACAAAAACCACTAGTCGAAATTCGACCATAATATAAGCTCATTATGGTTGAATTTGTGGTAAGTCTATACTCAAATAATGTTTAAAACAACAAATATTAATCTATTCTCAAATTGACCATAGACATAATAACATTTGGTCATCAATTGGTATAAATTCGACCATAAAACAAATTAATTATTAGCAAATTTATGGTACGACTATAGACAAATTCTCATTTTGACCATAAACTTTGTAAAAACAGTTGTACATACATTGATTCACTTTACAACTGAGTGTGTTGAAAATTATAAGTGTGTTGAAAATAATATTTAATCACTCACCTGAGCATATCCCAGGGCAAGTAGAAGCCCGACCACATATAATACCTGCATGTTTCACACCTATTTGTCGACTGACGATATGTAGTATAAAAAAATTATAATTATAATTAATTAGGATTATCACATTTAGACGGATATAATCTTGGAATTACTTTATCAGGTATTATGATGTGATGATTTAATTGATAATTGTCATCATTATGGTGATTACTGTGAAATCACTTCCGGTAGGTATGAACATCGACATATTCTCTAAATCTGCCTGAAAAAAGATTTAAATGTTGTTTAAAACACTTTGTAAACGGCGTATTATAAAATTTAAAAGTTCGTTAACGATAATAATAATATAGAAAAACAAAATTCATAGCATTGACAATTTTATCTGATTGCACTAAGAATGAGTGCGTAGCGGTTTCTATGTTTGATTATCGCATGCCTCTTACTTGTTACTGTGTTATCTATACATCTATACATATAAATAAAACATAAACATCTATACATCTATACATATAAAGTGTTTGTTTGTAATATTGAAATAATCGTTTTTTACTACATGTATATGAATATAAATACATGGTACATACACCAAAATATTTTTTTTTGCAATTTTTGTCTGTATGTTCTGCTAATCTCTGAAATGGTTGGACCGATGTTGGAGGGACCTTTTTCGATAGGTAGTTGATGTAATAAGGCTACTTTTATTTTAGAAAAATAAAGTTAAATTCCACGCGGACGAAGTCGCGTGTACAGCTAGTTAATTATATAAAAAGAAAAAATCTATTCAAAAGAGCAACATACAAGTTTCTTGTGATGAATCTGCGTTCCGAATGAGTGGTAGAATAAAAAAATATGATTATTTAAAAGTGCTTGTATTGAGTTTATTTGAATAAAGATTATTTCTATTTCAGGTCATATACAGTACCTACTATCAGCTCCCTAATTATATAACACATTGAAAGTTATTTCAGATTGTCTATAAGAGATTGCTACAAACGATAAGGCCTTTTGTCAAGCACATTTGTGCACAATGTTTTATTTGTAATTATTTCCGCAGTATGTTCAAAATTTATTGTAATATAATTTATTAATGGATGACTTGTAAATAATTATGAGTAATATAGTAGTTAATTTAAATATGCGTGAAAGTAGAAATATAATGTCGAAAGAGTTAAACTCGGAGCAGTTCCTGAGACTTGTGATCAGGATGTACCTTTATTTATTTATTATTTTTACGGCTCTGGAAACAGGTCCTTTTAAGCCCAAGGATAAGTCACGGGAATTGCTCTGAATTTCAATCTTTTCGACTTTATGCACGATGGATCCGACTCTTGCAAGGTGAATGAAATGCTAAGTCTCTCGATTTTGACATCATTAAAAAATGAAATAATATTGTAAACATTTTTATTATTATCATAACTAAGTACACAATATAGGTACAAAATATCACAACAGCCTTAAAACTATTTATTAACAAAAATATGACACCGAATAATGTAAAATTTGTGAATAACTCGCCAAAAATTAGAACTTTAAGATACAAAATTAACTTCAATATATCAGATTGAAGAAGCTAATATAATAAAAACCTACTATACATAGCAGTTTGTTTATTACTTTTTAACATATTTCTACCAAAACTACCATTATTTGGTAGAAATGTGATGAATAGTAACAAATATATTTCGTTTGGTGCAATATGCTTTTCGTATTATAAAAATTACGTATTTTGGTTTTGTATTAAATTATAAATATAATAGTTTAAAATACCAAGAGATTATATATAGACTATGACATAATTATAAAATTTTTGCAATAAATTATACAATATGGATAGTGATGTAAAATTAAAATTTGATCAAAATTATACATTCATAAAATTATTATGCTTTATTTTTGGGTCTGTGGTACTTTTCATAATGGATTCATATAAACAAAATATGTTTAATTCGCTACCATTAGCATGTGTGAGACAAATATTCAGTGTACCTAACCTAACCTGACCACCGCTACTGGAAGCGTTACGACCTCTATATTGGTGATCAAATTTCGACCGTTATTGAGTCTACATATTGCAACACGTGTTTCGCCTTTGAACAAGGCATCATCAGGTATTGAATAGATTTCAGATATAGCTTGGAAGCCTGGTGTTGACTGGTTGGAGACCAGTTTAAGATTTTTAAAATGAAGTAAATTAAAACAACCAGTCTGGAATCTGTGGTCATAATAATTAGGGCGAGTTATTTGGACTTGTATACAAATCTTTCTACGTACATTGAACACTGGGTATTACTAACGAGTGGATCCAACAAAATGGGTAAATTACAAGAACTGTGTCAAAAACCATGTTCAGAATTATCAAAAGTTTTTTTTATTGTATAATAAATATTTTAAATATAAGGCAATATTTTTTTAAATTCTAACCTACAGTACTACAGTCATGCTAAGATTGCTTTAAAATAATCTACATATAATTAAAAACAAATTGAAGTACATAATATGGGAATTCTGGATCAAAACTCAGAAGGGCCTCTTAAATGATTTAGTTTCGTACTTTATTTAGGTGCACTGCACTTACCGTGCCAAATATTGGCGCCAAGAGTTTGGTGTTGCCATATATGTACTATGTACTTACTTAAATATATGACATAAGCTACACCTAATAATTATATGAACTTTTTTTACTTGTTAATTTGTTTATAAATGTATTTGGTTTGATTATATTATTTGAGATTTCGTAATAACATAGTATATTTGGCATCGGGCAATATGAGATGGAAAAGGGTATGAGAATGCACACAACACTCAGTAAACCACAAAGACCCGTGGAACAGACTCCATACGCCTCAATTACAGGAGCCGGACCAGCTTTTCAAAGTTGTTTTAGAATACAGCATAAAATTATTACTAATGCACCACAAGCGAAGTATCAATCAACTAAAGTGTTGACAAACTATCTCAAAATGAATATCGAACCTCGCAAAATTCACCGCTATGATGTGACATTTAGACCAGATAAAATGAAAAATTGATACCCAAAGCATTCATAATGGCCAAAAATTTGCGATTCCCAAAGGCAATTGTTGCATTTGATCAAATGAAGAATTGTTATACCTTGAATCCGTTTTCAGAGGTACCGGAGAATGACCGTTTAAATATTAAGGTGGAAGTAACTGATAATAATGGAAAAAAGGTTCCATTTGAGGTGTCCTTCAAACATACAGGAGTTGTCGATCTGGATAAAATAATACAGTACATGAAGACTGGTGGTACATCTTTGAACCCGCATTCTGAAGCAATACAATGTGTGGACGTGATACTGAGACAAGGGACCTTGGAGTCATATGTCAAGAGCGGCCGTCAGTTTTACAGGCGCCCCCTCAACCCAGTAGATCTGTCCGATGGCTTGGAGATGTGGACTGGATTGTTCCAACCCGCTTTATTTACCAGCAGACCTTTTGTGAATATAGACGTTGTCCATAAAGGGTTCCCTAAAAGCCAACCCCTTCTAACAGCATTCATGAAGGACTTTGGTTTAAATCCAAATCAAAGTTTGATGCAGAGAAATTGGGCTGTGTCGCCATTACTACATACTACTTAAAATTATTGGGAGAATGATAAAAGATCAATACATTTTTAACAATAATATGGACATTGCTACTGAGCCAGTATAACAACTTGGAAATTATTCACTTTTCAAGAGTATTCTACTTTACGTAAAACATTCAAACTCAAGTTAAGGGTGAATTAATGTTCCATGTCATTCTTGCATTTATTTTAATACCTAGACGACCTTATAAGTACAAATTATCACCTCACTTAAGCATTTTATAATACTTTAGTAACGTCTTTATTCTCATGAATTACTGTTAATAAAACAAATAAATTATCAAAAATATACAGGCCACTACTACAGATGCCTGGTTAGATCTAAAATTTTGACAGAAGCATTAAATGCATTATTTAGGCTTTATGTATGTAGCATCTTAGCTAGTATTAAAAAGAAAAAAATATATCACTAGACAATAAATGGTGCTTCATCGTATGAAATTTAAAATAATGTAAAAGTTCCGTTCTTTATATATTTTTAAGCGAAATCTTTTTTATGGTTATTTTGTATGTCATTTTATATATTTTTTTAAATACCATAATAAAAAAAACTGTCGTAGATGTAATCACTTCGACAGATATTTAATTTCATAAGGAATAACTATACATCACTACTAAGTTACTGCATTTCTTACTATATACCATTTATTGTCTTTTCAACACACTCTCTAGTAAATAGGATCTCAATTTTAACGGTTTTCAATATATAACGCAGTTCATAAAACACGAGTGCGTTCTAAACAAAAATGTGAAGTTACATTCCATAGCCGTACTATTTGCTATTTATTTAAATTTCGAACATTATGGCCGCGTGGCTCCATCCAGTAGGCAGCGCGATGATTTAAAAAATTAAAATGGCGGGAAAGCAACAGTGTGCATCACAGTTTTATGGTTGAGTTTATTTAAAATCAAGTGTGTTGAAAAACGTCGTACGATATACGTGCGTATTTAACACACTCGGCTCTACTCGAAATTCCACCTCGTGTGTTATAACTATCATAACGCACTTATATCGTAACATAAGTTTACAATATATTTTCTACTTTCATAATATTAATAATAATCATAATTCTAATTAAATTAGATTTGTATAATTTGGTCAATTTGATAATTATAATAGTTTATCACCAATTTTAATACATAGGAACAATTCTGTTTCTACCAATTTCTACCATAGTGTTTTGTAACAAGTGTTCATCTTTATAAGACATTTCTATTTTTTCTCTTCAGTTCCTATAGAGCTTCAAACAAATCGAGACGAAACCGCGCGGGACGTAGGGCACTTGTATCATTTCAGATACCCGATTATTTTTTTACTGCAAGTATGCTATATATAAAAAAGTAAGAAGTGTTGGTATAACAAAAGAGTACTGAAAAGATAAAATATTTGTATTCAATACGAAATATGAGGTATTCACTACCTGAAAATATTTTTTTAATATTACATATCGTATTATCGTACATATAAATAACTATCTCTTTCACACATCGCTAAATCTTACACATATTTTATATGGCTGCTAAGTATATTCTAAAGAAATTTTATAATATTTCTAAAATGCTTAACTACCCTGTATTTGAAATTCTTATTTACTATAAAGTTTCAGACGCGATTAAAACAACGATATTAAGAATCTCTTACGGTTATTCTTTCTGATCACTAATAACAAGTAAGTACAAGTAAAGTCTACTAGTTTTCCTTTCAACTGCGACGACCCTATCGTTAACTCTTTCTACCGTCTTCTGCGATTAGAAAAAATCTGTTGCTATCAATTTCTACTATTGTACATGATAAACTGTGTCATCTCTGTTTTCTACGCCTGTTCTCCGCGAGTAGAAACGATTCTGTTTCTACCAATTTCTACCATTTTACAAGATAACAACTGTATAAGACAATAATTTTAATTACTACTTGTATTTATGTAATTAAAATAATATAATAACAAACTCACGGCACTCTCATTCTATACTTCTCATTCTTTCATAGTCATCATTACTCCATTTCATGCAGACAACTTTTTACTAAGTCTGCCTCGGTACCACTTATTTTTCTAACATCTATTTCTAATAATTGAGACACTGGTTATGTTAACACCCGATTAAAGAACCTTACAATAACAATAAGCGGTCGCATAAAGAATAAATGAGCAAATCTATTACGTTTGTACATTTTTATTAACTTCCTTTCTTTCTTTTCACTTTTATTTTACCTTATTTCCAGCTAAAATAATATTCCAGCTAATAAACACCCTATGACGTTCTCGTTCCGCGCTATATGCATCAGTATGAGCGAAAATTAATCCTTTATAGTTTCTACCATAGTTTCTACCATCTGTTTCTACCAATTTATGAATGGGTATTCAATAAAAAAATAACAATAAACGGTCGTTAAATCGCGAAAGAGCGAATCTATTATATTTGTGCATTATTATCAAGTTCCTTTTTCTCTTTCCAATTTAATTTTATCTTATTTCCGGCTAAAATAATATTCTAGCTAATAAACACACTAATATGCTCGCGTCCCGTGCGTTTCGCCTCAGTATGAGCGAAGTGTAATCCATTTTTATTTCTACCATAGTTTCTGTTTCTACCAATTTTATTGTATTGTCACGTCATTTTGACAGCGGTAACGTCTTGACGCATTTCTACTTCTGTTTCTACCAATTAATAGGGGGAGTATTGTCACGCCATAGTGACAGTGGCGGTGGCGTCTTGTCGCTTTCCCTCCAAAACTTTGTAGTACACAACTGCATCGTGGACAGTCGGGAACGTGTCCAGTTGGAGTCTATCCGACTCCAGGGTGTTATACCTCTCGATCATTTCTAGAACTGGGCCTGGAAGGAATAACAAACTGATTTTACCTAAATGCCGTTTAACTAAAATTAGTAATTCGTTTTATGGCAATTGCATTAAGATTTTACAACAAACTACCAGAGTCTGTTTTAAATCTCCCTGAAAAAAGATTCAAATATCATATAAAACACTTCCTTTGTAAAAACGCATATTATAAATTTGAAAAATATGGATTTAGTAATATGGACTCTTGAGCCCATTGCTTGTAAAGTACCATGTCAACTTTACCTCCAGGCGATTCCCCCTGATAACTGTCACTTTCCAGGTGAATTTCTCACGATGGACTAATTGACCTGACCTCATGCTCTTCTTATCATCCTTCACTGGTGCCCCGCCAGCGTAAACATATAAAAAAAAACAACTATCGGAAGTAGACTGTGTGTGCTAAACCGCTAGATCAACTAGGCCATCTGTTTGGGACTAGATGGAGCTGTGTAAATTGTCTAGTATTATAGATATAGATAGATAGATATATATTTACCATTGGCGCCAGCTAGCAGTACCGTGATGTTGCTAGCTACAAGCTCACGCTGCACAGCAACCAGGGTTTTGATCCCTGGGGCATCCACATATGATAACGCCGTAGCATCCACTATTACACACTGCACCTATAAATCAATACATTTAATAGTAAATAATAAATCAAATCAAAATATCTTTATTCATGTAGGTCTATTACAGACTTTTATGATTAAGTCTACCGTCAGCTCGGAATGTTTTCGAGATGAGACGAACTGACAAGAAACTCAGCTCGTTTTCTTTTCAAATATGGCTGTACATGTTTACAATAATACAGATTCATTTTTAAATTCTTTGTGAGCATCGCCATCTTAAACTAGGCCGGGGCTCTTGGGCACACAGAATACGGGGCCCTTTTGGAAAGTAAAAAATAAAGCTCATTGCAGCGTCAGTGAAACAACACGGTCGGTTGCTAACTGTTTATTGAAAAAGAAACCAAATACCATCCACCGTCTTAATACTAATTATTAAACTACCCTACATTTCTCCACACATAAATCAAAACAATAACATTTTTATAAAAGAGTTTCTACATACTTTTTGTATTATAAAAAACAAATAAAGGTAAATAAGTAAATAATAACAAATCGGGTATACATACTCTAATACCCTATCTAGAACAATATATTTTCTATCTATCTAAAGAAGCTACAAATTACTCAGATAATACATATCGATAAAAATACTTTATTGATACATAAGTTATAACATACAAGTAACGTAAGTCGTATAAGATATCATCTATACTATGTATATAACCTATCGGTCCTATCTATATAACTTAACTATATAACTTAAGTACAGAAAACAGAATAATGACAACATACAGTACAGTAGTTTTATACATATTATAATCATGTAACTCATACGATCGAACTCATTTCTCTATCCCTTGTTTACGTAATTCTCTTTCAAGTGCGCGCCTAGCTCGATCACTACATTGATTTGTTGGTGACAGTTGTTCACACTCTTTAATATTAGGTGAATTCATAACATCTTTCTCTTCCCCTTTTTCATTTTTACCTGTCATGGGACTCTTTAAATTTTTATCATCCGGCTCTTGTCTTTGTTGATTATCATAACTACGTCTTGATTGATTGTCATAGTCTGACAACTCATTATTACTTAAACGGGGCGTTGAAAGTCTATTTCGTTTTAAAGGCCATAATTGGTCAGAATGTCTACGACAAGCGTTTCCCGTGTTTAACTGTACTGTATAAGAAACCGGCCCCGTTTTGGATGTTATTTGGCCTTCTGTCCATTTGTCCCCACGGGAGGAATAGTCTCGAGCTATTACGCTTTCTCCAACTTCGAAAGTTCTATCCATTCCCCCAGCTTCCGCTACCTGTTTGTCTTGCGCCTGTCTAACAATATCGCTAGTATTAGGTCGCACCGCGTCTAACCTAGTACGTAGTCGACGACCTAGTAATGCGACCGCCGGAGCTACACCTGTAGTAGCGTGTTCACAGTTTCTATACTGAAAAAGAAATCGACACAAAGCTGACGTCACATCCTGACCTTCATAGATGGCTTTCTTCAGAGTCTTTTTTATGGTTTTTACAGCATTCTCTGCCGCTCCGTTGCCTTGTGGCCTATGTGGTGATGCAGTGGTATGTCTAATTGTATTTTTCTTACAGAAATCATTAAATTCGTGACTCTGAAAAGGGGGACCATTATCTGTGACTAGCTGTACTGGTAACCCAAATATTGAAAATAACTTACGAAAATACTGAATAGTGTCAATAGCGGAGGTACTACGTATTAATGCAGCATCCAACCATTTCGAATTGGCATCCACTACTACAATATAATACTTGCCATTCAATTGGGCAAAATCGGCATGTAATCGTTGCCATGGAGCTGTCGGGAACTCCCACGGATGCAACGATGAACGTGGTGGTGCGTCTCGAACGTTTCGACAAGCCTCGCACTCGCGCCCTAATCCCTCTATATCGCTGTCTATTTCAGGCCAATACACATAATGTCTGGCGATCGACTTCATTTTTATCACCCCTAAATGACCTTCATGTATTTCAGATAATATTTGTTGTTGTAATTTATTTGGTATTACAACACGATATTTGTATAGTATACAACCATGTTCCGCGTATAGGTCCGCCCGTCTATAGTAAAACGGTTTCTCAAGGTCAGTCCCGCATTCATTCGGCCACCCATACATAATGTATCCATATATTTTCGACAGTAAGGAATCATTTTTAGTAGCGAATGCTATATCTTTATAGCTGATTGGCAAGGTTTCATTTATTAAATTTAAATAATACGAGTAATTATAATTATTATGATCAAGTGTATTTAAATGTGATTTATTTTGCAATGGTAAACGCGATAAAGCATCCGCGTTACCGTTATTTTTGGAGCTTACATATTCAACTTTAAAATCATAAGCCGCCAGCTTCACAGACCATCGTTGCAGCCTACTCGCTGCCGTCTGGGGTATACCACCTTTTGGACCAAATATGTATGTCAATGGTTTATGGTCCGTTTTTAATACAAATGATCGACCATATAAAAATTGATGATGTTTTTGAACCCCGTACAGTATAGCCAACGCCTCCTTATCCAGTTGACTGTAGTTTTTTTCGGCGTCCGTAAGTGTTCGCGACGCACAGCTGATCGGCCTCTCGGTGCCGTCTGGATACCTGTGCGCTAAAACCGCACCAACTCCGTAGCTACTACTGTCTACAGCTAATAACAATGGTAATGAAGCATTATAGTGAATTAAGACTTTGTCACTCGATAAATACTGTTTAACGTCTCGAAATGTTTTCTCACATGTTTTATTCCAATCCCATGGTGTATCTTTTTTTAATAATTTGTACAAAGGATAAAGAAAAGAGCTCAAATTCGGAATAAATTTACCATAATAATTAATTAGTCCTAAAAATGCTTTTAATTGCGTCACGTTATTAGGTGGTGGTGCATTCACTATAGCCTCCACTTTCGATACATCTGGATGTAACCCATCCTTATCTATTATAAAGCCCAAATATGATACACTAGGTTGTAAAAATGAACATTTATTAATTTTAATAGTGAGACCCATTTTAGCTAATCTTTCGATTACAGCTCGCAGATTATTTATATGACTACTACGGTCAGGACCTGTAACGCAAATGTCATCTAAAAAGACGACAGTATTGGAGAGGCCACGGAGGGTCTCCTCCATGATTTTTTGAAATTTTTCGGGTACACAACTTAAACCATAAGGTGTACGTCGAAAAACAAAAGTGCCTAAGTGCGTAGATATGGCAGTTGCCGCCTGTGAACCTTCCTCTAGAGGAACCTGCATATAGGCTGTGGTAAGGTCTATTTTTGAATATTCTTTTCCTCCGCTCAAGGCAGCAAATAATTCCTCTATTCGTGGCAATGGATAATAGTCTCTTTTAAGCTTAGGATTTATTGTTGTTTTGTAGTCTCCACAAATACGTATTTCACCAGATGATTTAATTACAGGAACAATAGGTGTTCCATAATCGGAATGTTCCACAGGATATATGGAACCCTCTTTTTGCAATCGGTTCAGTTCCCGCTCAACTGCGGCGCGTAAAGCGAGCGGTACCGGCCGCGCGCGTACAAAAACCGGTTCGGTATCTGTTAGCTGTAATCGAATGGTTTTTTTACATGTACCTAAAGTATTTGTAAACACTTGCGGATATTCACATTTCAATTGATTTACAAAATTAGCCCGAAACCCGTTATCGTCTTGTTCACAAATACTATTTATATATAATTGATTAATATTGAATCGACGAATCCAACTCCTCCCTAATAATGGACGACTACCATTTTTTATAATGTATAATTTTAAATTATTTTGAGTAATATCATTAATGCAAGCGTTTACTAAAATATAACCGACAGTTTCTATCATCGATCCAGAGTATGAACATAATTTAATTCGATCCTTATGCAAGGTATAATAACAAAAAAACTTTATATAATACTCCTCATTGATGGCGGATATCTTACTGCCCGTATCGACTTCACATTTAATTACCCGATTCCCTATTTTAACGTCCACAAAATAAGGGTCATCTCCCGTAGATACGACACGTATATTATATAATTCGCCGTCCGCATCTTCGTCGATAAAATTGTGTCTCTTATTCTCTAACACTTTGCACATCACTTTCAAGTGACCTTTGCGCTGACACTTATCACATGAATAATTTTTAAAACGGCACTTATCTGCTCGATGCGGCTTACCGCATCGCCAACAACTCGTTCCCGCTGCCGCCGGCGCGCCAGCCGCGGCCGGGTGGGGCCGCGCGCTGCGCACCGCATGCAAGCCGTCGCGCGGCCGGTCCGCGCCGCCGCCGCCGAGCGCCCACACGCCGGCCGCGCCCGCGCCGGTGCCCGCGCCGCCCTCCCGGCCGCCCGCACCGCCGCTCCTGGCGCTCGCCTCGGCGTGTTTATCCGCCGCTTCCAATGCGAGAGCTAGCTCCACCGCCTTTTTATATGTTATGTCTTTCTCGGCAAACAGACGCGATCTCATGTCGTCACTACATAACCCGGACACGAACTGGTCCCGAAGGTTCTCTTCGAGCATCGACCCAAAGTTACAGGTCGTCGCCAGATGTTTCAAATTTTGCAAGTATTCCGACAACGGTTCGCCTATAGATTGCCTTCTCAATCGAAAGACATGTCTCTCTGCTATCACTGAACGTTGTGGTTCGAGGTGATCTGCCACTATTTTTTCCAACTCCGTGAATGTTTTATCTTCCGGATTTACTGGTGCACACAGATCACACATGTGTTCACCGACTTTGTAGGTGGGTTCACCGACTAACGTTATAAAAGTCGCCACTTTTAAACTATCTTTAATTTCGTTACACAACAAAAACTGTTTGACACGTCGCACGTACGCACTCCATTGTTTCGAATGTAGATCAAAAGGTTCTATTTTACCCACGGGCATTTTTACACAATTTTTAGTACTGTTTATTTATTTAGAGTTTATTTATATTAATTTTGTTTGTAAGTTGGTAATGAACTAAAATACTTTGTATTCAGATTATTTTTTAAGGTAACCCGACTCGTCGCCAATGCAGCGTCAGTGAAACAACACGGTCGGTTGCTAACTGTTTATTGAAAAAGAAACCAAATACCATCCACCGTCTTAATACTAATTATTAAACTACCATATAGCTTCAAAGGTATAAAAACAACATTATTGATTTGTAAAAAAGTGTAGTATGCCCGACAAAAATCTTTTGAGAATAAATGTGTGAAGAAAAATTGTCAGTCCTTCGGGGGCCCCTGAGAATTGGGACCCTGTGCACGGGCCCCGTGTGCCCTTATGGTAAAGACGGTATTTTTTGTGAGTAAAGATTTATCACATGCTACTGCAAAAGGAAATAGTCTAATCAGTAATTCTAACCCGAACAGACCACTCCCCACAGGCAGCATCCGATCACGAGTATGACGGATGACTCACCTATCATTGTAGATTGTTTCCAGTTACATAAAAACAGAAAAAAAAGAAAAACAATACACACTCTATTCCCAATAGTGGGGTCCCACTCGTACGACTCGCTCTTGGTGAGATTGTTGTCCTCGTCGTGGCTGACCTCTGCCGGTTTCATGTAACCGATTTTCCGGAAGAGCGTGGAACGGAACAGGTTCTTGCTGGCGAAGTTCAGACCTCCGCAGTAGTGGAAGATCTTGATTCCTGGCAACTCCTCGGCCTGGTGGCAATTACGTATATTTCTAATATACAGTGCACAATAAAATAGACTTTATTTATATTATTAAGGTCTTAACAAGAAGTATTTAATGCCAAATAAAGGACTTTAGATCAGTCAGCTCGTGATCAGACTAGTGCAACCTAGTCGAAACGTCGAGAGAGATAAATACCTTCATTTTCCATAAAATTCTTGTTAGGACCCTGGTTAATAATATAAATAATGATTAAACATGATAGTTTAAAAATAAATAAAGTACACTTTATACAAAGTCGTTTGTGTGTATCTCAGATTCACCTATATCAGCTACCAAGCAGCTTGCTTCGTAAGCTGATTTTTGTTTAAAGTCGTGAGTTTATAAACGAAATGTTTTTGTAGAAAAGTCTCTCCTATTATCCTTGTGATGATTACATTAATAGTGAAGTATTTTTATTTTTCACTATTCATTTAAAACAAAATAAAAAAGATCTATTTTCCCTTTAAAAACATTACTATATATTACACTATCATCAATATTTAATTCATAAACAGGTATGTGTACATATACATTAATAGAATTAAAAAAAAAAATTGACATCTTGACTTTCCGTTCTGTCAGTATTTCTGACATTTTAACCTAGACCTAACATTTAAAATGTGAAAATTACAGTTATAAACAATGTCTAACATTTCCGTTGCAATGTTCATTAAAATAAATAAATTATAACCACAGACAAGAGAATATTACACAGTGTAACCATAAACTAAATTCAACTTTAACATGCATTTATTTACAGACAGACGGTAAGTATGAAAAATATTATTAAATTAATGACTTGAACATTATTGGTCTGTTCTTATTGAATTGTAATAGATCTACATGAGTGAAGTTATTTTGATTTTAAATTTGGTAAATTATTAGTGAATTCACCACGACAGTTTGACTGGCCTTGACTCCTCTCCATATAAGAATATTTTCTAAAATAACTAAACTCGATGAAAAGCTAAGGAAAATAATTAGACAGGTTATCTTTAAACAAGATTTTTTTGTAACGATTTTTGTTCTTAGTTATTAATTTCAGAATTTTCCTCATTATAAATAAATAAATAACCCCGGACAATTAACACACACCATCTAGTCCCACGGTCAGCAGAGCTTGTGTTATGGGTACTAGAAAACTGATATAAATACTTTAGATTTTTTTGTAAATACATACATAATATACATATAAAACACCCAGACGGATACAAACAATCATACTCATGAATACAAATGTTTGCACCGTGCGACGAATCGAACCCGCGACCATTGGTAGTAGAGTCGTGCTAAAGCGGTAAACCACCGAGAGAGTCAAAATTATAAAGTTTGCTTTCTCTTAACGTTAGGAAAAAAGAAATTGAAATTATAATGTAAAAAACTTGACGTTCATAAGCGGCTAAAATGTCCTACATGAATAAATGATTTTTGAATTTGAATTTGAATCTAATAAATATGAATATTATATAAAATTTTCGTGAATTTTACTCGTGTTCTTGCGTTTCAGCTGCCCGTACGCGCTGGGATACCAAATCAGCTTTTTAGGACTTCTCACATTGTGTATATATGTTATTTTTAACATAATTTTGATGACCTCTATACAGTTTATAATATTATCTATACGGGAAGACAGAGAGATGGAGATGATAAGCAGGGGCGTGTTAATGTCGGAGTAAAGTAATATGACCATCGAAACAGTATTTGTAGTTTTTTTTTTAAAAGTAATAACTGTGGACAATTCACATAGCGCCATCTAGACTAGAGCGAATTTTGTGTTTTTTTTTAGTGTATGATAAGGGACAAAACAGTATATATGATAAGGGAATGATGCACCCGCCTGCACTAACGGTTTACACTGACGGGGCACCAGTGGAGGATGATAGGATGAACATGAAGTCAGGCCAGTTAGCGCATCGTGATAAATTCATCGGGTATTTATCTAGTTAGCAGGACAGGACACCGTGCGAGGAATCGCATTCAGGAACCATTGGAAGTAAAGGTGTATGCTAAATCGCTAGACCTAGAGTACTCGTAAATACTAAGAGACTTACCGCCCGATACCGCTTTATGTCTAAGTAGAGGTCCGTATTTAATATACGGCCCAGGAGACAAGTGTAGGGTTTCTGGGAGCGGCAGAATAGTGCCCCAACACTCGCCGCCAGGCCCGCGCCAAGTCTGCCGAAGAAGAAAAACAATCATCATTACATAGTATATATAAAACAAAGTCGCTGTCGCCGTCTGTCCGTCCCTGTGTATGCTTAACTCTTTAAAACTACGCAACGGATTTTGAAGCGGTTTTATTTTAATAGAGTTAGTTATTCTACAGGAAGGTTTATATATATAATACATGTACACCCCGGTGAAGCCGGGGCGAGTAACTAGTAATATACAAACTAATTACAATTAATCGATACTAATATTATAAAGCTGAAGAGTTTGTTTGTCTAACTACTTGTGATATTCATATTGTGTTGGACAGTCCATTTGTCGAGGAAGGCTTTAAGCTATATAACATTACGCTACGACCAATAGGAGCGGAGCTGCAATGAAAAATATTCCAAGAGCCCCACCTTTTGGAATATTTAAAATGAAACGCAGACGAAGTTGCGCGGGTCAGCTAGTATTATAATAATAATAATCGGCTGTACCATTTCATTATCAACCAAATAGACTCTTTAAAAAGCACTTCTGAATAGTCATATTTTTTATTCTACCACTCTGTTTTATCTATCTATATATATATTAAGTTAATTAACAGACACCAGACAAAGGCGAAATCTTGTAGGACAATAACAGAATGGTATCCACCAGATGAAATACAAAATACAAATAGTCTTTATTCAAACAAAATCAATACAAGCACTTTTGAATAGTTATGTTTTTGATTCTACCACTCATTCGGAATGCAGATTCATAACAAGAAGAACGAGCAAGAAATTTGTGTGTTGCTATTTTGAATAGACGTTTTTTTATAGAAATAATTACACAATAACAAGTCAGAGGCATACGATAATCAACATAGAAACCGCTAATAATTTTTTTGTCTGTCTGTCAATATTCTTGCTAATCTCTGAAACGACTGGGCCGAGTTTGACAGGACTTTCACTAGCAGATAGCTATAATTAGCTAATTATATCATCAGTAACTACAGTTTTAAGTAAACTGCCATTATCCATCCACCCGTTGCTATAAAATTTCGCGTTTATAATATTAGAAGAAAAAATTAAACTCTTGATTTTCTAGAAGACTTACCCAATGTCGATATTGACGAGAACAGTAACTAGGAAGGTCACCAGCCACACCACGGCGTCCAGTTTGCTTAACTTCCAGAACCTGCCACAGATAAACAATCTTATATATAAAATTCTAGTGTCACAATGTTAGTTACCATACTCCTCTGAAACGGATTGACCGATTTTTATGAAATTTGTATGCATATTTAGTTGGCCTGAGCCTTACTATCTATTTTTCATACCCTTAAGTGATAAGGGTTAACCACAAGTAACATTTTGTTTTGGACAATTTTTTTTAATAATGTTTTTTTTTTATTGGGCTGTTGTCAGGTGCATGGACCTATATCTATTGTTCTCGCCCTTTTCAAAGTCCGCTACCTAGACTCGTCAGGGACAAGAATTGAAGGATATTCTTAGGAGCGATGGTTTTTATCTCCTCAGAATAGAGTGTATACTTTCCAAAGGAGATATTTCGTTTACTGTGGGCTACAACCACATAGGATGTGTAGTGGCGTTTCCTCTTCATTTTGGCAAAATCTGCAAATTTTTGTTGTGCATAGGCTTTAGGTTTGACATATGTTTAGATAGATAGATAGATAAATAGCTAAGCTAATAGCTTCAACATTTACAACAATACAAATATTCGCCTCATATTCAGGGGGCATGCAAATTATAATTCATAACAATTACCTTTACAATTAAAATTGACGACCTCGGTGGTCTAGCGGTCAAGCACACCGCTTTGCGTCCGATGGTCGCGGGTTCGATTCCTCGCACGGCACAAACATTTGTATTCATGAGTATGATTGTTTGTATCGGTCTGGGTGTTTTCTATGTATAATATGTATGTATTTACGAAAAAAAAATATCTATGTATATGTATCAGTTATCTAGTACCCATAACACAAGCTCTAGCTAGCTTAACTTGGGTCTAGATGGCGCTGTGTAAATAAAAAAAAAAAAATTACAGAAATAAGAATATCAGATGTCAGGTCAATTCCCGCAAAGAGTAACAACATTTTTTAACGAGACATTTGTTCAATTTATTCAATTTGCAGTGTCCTATGTCCTGTATATAGGCGACGATTCTATCAGGTGAACCGACATGTTTGCTAATTCAATATATCTCGAAATTTACTAACCTGGGTAACTCCTTCACTTGTATGAACATCCCTTTGAGGGACACGACTATGATGCTGGCCAGGACACATCTTGGTAGCTGCTCGAAGAACGGCCCTACCCACAGCAACACGCAGAGGATGAGCAGGGCTGACACCAGTGAGGTTATGTTGGTTTTACTGCCAGCCTGTGAGGAGAGATTTTTACATATCAGTTAAAAAAAGAAAAGATAAAAGGTAACTACTGAAAGAAAGAAAGTTTTTTAACAAATTCAAATCTGCCACTTAAGAACACAAAGAAACAAATGTCAAACCCGTTCATTAGCAGTTATAATTAGATTTTAAAATTAAATACACATATATACTATATAAAATAATAAAAATAATATATTAAACATCTGTAAACATTTACACATGCCGTGGCTACCAGTAATAAAATCAACACTATATAACACTGAACTTCTTGCAAACTATAATAAAATAAATAACTTAATAGTGTATTTCTTGGGGGTCGCTCAATTAAATAAAATAAAACATAAAACGACAGTTGAGAACATAAAATAGATTGAAAAATAAAAATAAAATTAAAGCAAACGATCAGTCAGTTGAAAGTCAAATGATTGTTATTATGTGATAGCCGGTGATATATTCGTTTAGTACACCGTCTCACTTCCGATCGCGGGTTCGATTCCTCGCACGGCTTAAATCCAGTGTAGAATCATCACGACTCTGTGTTGAGTGTTCACGTTACTAATAAGCCATACAGCACACTATCAAATAAACTTACTAATGTAGTGCAATCATTCCACCTCACTACCTAGTTCCTACTCACTACCTAGATACTACAGGAAACAAATAAAGTAGAGATACTTCATGACATCATATATAAGGCAACTAATGGAGTCTCCAAACTTCGCCTTCGATAGATCCCCCGTCCAATTTAATCGGGATCGCAACTGCGACCGCTTGAGCAGGGGTTCGAACTCCTCGTAGTGCCTTCAGACTAAAGTCTGTATCCATCAGATGGGAATTGTCCTTCAGCCGCTCCATAAGTTCTTCCTTTGGTTTGGAGTGCCATCTGCACTCGCCCCTATCGTCCGGTGAAGCTGTAAAGGCCAGCTGCGGCCAACAGTATTAGAGTAGTCCAATAAATTTTATTGGCACAAATATTCAGTGTGTGAGTTTTATATAATTCTGCTGTCTTCTATATAATATCCAATGAACTTTGGGTATATTCTTACCTGATATTGTATGTAAGATCTGGATAAGCTGGCACAGAACGGTGCACAGCAGAAGAACGAACCAAAAACGTTGCTAGCACCCTGAAGAAGTAAATTATATAAATATGTATAACTCAAAGGTGACTGACATAGTGATCTATCAACGCACAGCCCAAACCACTGGACGGATAGGGCTGAAATTTGGCATGCAGATAGATGTTATGACGTAGGCATCCGCTAAGAAAGGATTTTGATTAATTCTACCCCCAAAGGGATAAAATAGGGGATGAAAGTTTGTATGAACCTTTGTCAATTTTAAACCGATCGGGCTGAGACTTTGCATGCGTAAAGCTACTACGACGTAGGCACCCCCTAAGAAAGGATTTTGTTAAATTCCACCCCTAAGGGGATAAATTAACGCGAGCGAAGCCGCGGGCAAAAGTTAGTCCATAATAAACTTTATATGTGTCCGCGACTTCGTCCGCGTAAAATTACCATACTTCCACATAACCTTTCATCTCTCCTTCATTAAAAAGTTTATGACCTTTGTCAGGGTCTAGACTATCTGTGTACCAAATTTCATTTAAATCGGTTCAGTGGTTTCGGCGTAAAAGCAAGACGGACAGAGCTACTTTCGCATTTATAATATTAGCACAGATAACTTACAACAATATGATATTAGTAAGGATAAGGATTAAATCGTAAAATCGTGCTACAAAAACTGTTTGTCTGTTCCTTTTTTAATATTTCACGTAAAAATGGCTGTAAGAATTAGGATGAAACAAAATAATATGATGTTAAATATAGCAGTTAGTTTTGTGAATATTTGTAATACGCTATCTACAATTGAAGTGTCTGTTTCTAATTAACAGATTTTCAGTGAATGCATGTCATCATCCATAATTTTTCTTTGTCTGTCTGTACGCTATTGCTAATCTCTGAAACTCTGCGTGACTGATTTGGAAGAGACCTTCATTCGTAGATATCTAATATTATAAAGAGTAACTTAAGCTATAAAATAATAAAAAAAAATCTGTTTATTTGTTTTTTTAATCTCTGAAACGGCTGGACCTATTTTGACGAAACTTTCACTCGTAGATACCTAATATTATAAGAAGTTACATTTATATAAAAAACATGTTAAATTCCACGTAGGCGCAGTCGCAGGTAACAGTTGGTTATTAATAAATTACTAGCAAATTTTGTGTGGATATTAAGTTTTTGCCCCACGTAATAATATATAGATTCCACTTACCAAAGCTAAGAGTTCCTGGTTGGCGTCGATCTCGTATTTCTCCTTGGACGCGAAGATCAGCGCCATGGACATGGTGATGGTATAGGTCACTATGGTGATTGTGAACACGTCGATGGCTATGCTGGGGAACAGCTCAACTGGTGGCACTTGAGGTACTGGCAGTCTGGACGGGAGGACAGTTTTTTAGTTTTTTTTACAACAAAATGATGGCATGGTAAGTTTTTTTTTTTTAAGGTAGATAATGAAATGGTGCTCCCGCCTGCGCTAACGGTTTACGCTGGCAGGGCACCAGTAGAGGATGATAAGATGAGCATGTGGTCAGGTCAGTTAGCCCATTGTGACAAATTCACCAAGAATTTATCACGATGGTTTCCAGGGGGAGCCGCGTGGAGGTCAACCTGACATGGTACATTGCTAGCAATAAGATCATCAGTCCACATTACTAACAATCCTACTACCCTTTCCCCCCCTATGGTAAGTGATTATCAACAGGTCCACTGGTGGCACTTGAGGTACTGGCAGTCTAGATGGGAGAAAAGTTTGTAATTTTTTTTATAGCATAGGGGCAAACGGCTCATCTGCACCTGGAGTACAGGGACTCTGGACGAGAGAACTTTTTGTCAAGTTTTTTATAGCATAGTTGTATCAGTTATCTACCCATAACAGAAGTCTAGATGGCGCTGTGTGAGTTGTCCTGAGATTATTTATATATTAATACTAGCTGTCCCGGCAAACGTTGTTTTGCCATATAAATTAATAACGCCATAAAAAAATAGGGGTTGATGATAGAAGGGTGAAAATTTAGGATTGTATGTATTTTTGTATGTTGTATCATAAAAAAAAAGAAACTAAAAATTTTGTCTAAAAAATAAAAAATAAAAATTAAGGGTGGACTACCCCTAACATTTAGGGGGATGAAAAATAGATGTTGGCCGATTCTCAGACCTACCCAATACGCTCACAAAATTTCATGAGAATCGGTCGGTTTCGGAGGAGTATGGGAACGAACTGTGACACGAGAATTTTATATATAAGATATTTATATTCCTGACATGTCTTATTTATATTAATGCACCGCCAACAATATTTCTCTGCACCACTCATGGTTGCCTGGTAGATAACGCCGCACGGTGTTAAGTCCGCCATATGTACACATTGTTTTTGTGCATTAAAGTTAAATAAATAAATAATTATTATACATAGAAAACACCTAGACCGTTACAAACAATCATATTCATGAACACACATGTTTGTACAGTGTGAAGAACCCGCGACCATCTGAAGTAAAGCGGTGTGCTAACCCGCTAGACCACCGAGGTCGTCATATCAAAATTTGAAAAATATCACTCACCCAGTGGGTATGTTTCCGACCAGATTGATGCCGTACTGCTCCTCCAAACCACAGAACTTGGATACAATAGTGCCTATAACTATGGCCAGTAACTCTATAGGCACCGGCACGCGGCTTCGCTTGCTCACCCATGGCTGCCAACATAAAAATAACAACTCTTCTATTAGTTTACGTCCTCACATTACATAGTACCACCATCGTGGCACGCCGTCACGACATATGCTGAGCGTAGACCTATTTGGTACTATCAAAAGTAATTTAAAAGTATATAATGTAACTTAAAATTTAAAATTAATTTAATTATATTGCTATGTACCAAATACACAATTTACTTTCTCTCTTTCTTTCTATAAATATATTTAAGTTCAGTGTAAAATAGTCTACGCCCCGCCACCACGTCGAATGTACGCGTTACTAATAAGCCAAGTAGCACACTATCAAATAAACTTACTAATCTATACATATAAATAAAATTGGAGTGTCTGTTTGTAATATTGAAAGAACTGTTTTTTACTGCATGCATATGAATATAAATACGGTATATACACCAAAATAACATTTTTACAATTTTTGTCTGTCTTGTTTGTTCTGGCTAATCTCTGAAATGGCTAGACCGATTTTGACGGAACTTTTACTGGCAGGTGATGTAATAAGGAGTAACTTAGGCTACTTTTATTTTAGAAAAATAAGGTAAATTCCACGCGGACGAAGTCGCGGTTACAGGTAGTGTACAATAAATAGTATAATTATTACACCAGTGTACTCGCTACCTAGATACTACAATATACAATAAACAAATAAATTATATAGCCCAGGAACATGATCATTTGGGTAAATAAATAGTTACCTTGAGCAGTTCGTTGTTGAATGCGATGATGAAGCAGGTGATGACGGAGATGATCACTGCGGCTACATTCAAGTTCGGTAGGTTCTTGCTCACTTCCACCACTGTCTGGGGATGAATAGGTGGTGTTAATGGAAGTGCTTTTTGCTATTTCAATTACTTGGTCAGGACCGCTTAATAAGATAGAGGAATACCACAGAAGAGGTGCTTAGATGGGAAGATGAGATTCGTAAAATAGCTGGAGGACTGGATAGCAGATGCCAATCGATCTGATCGAACCGTCCAATTCAAATGGGGATCGAAATTACGACGGCCTGAGCCGTGGTTCGAACCCCTAGTGGTGCCCTCAGACTAAAGTCGTATCTGTCAGGCGGCAGTTGGCCTTCAGCCGCTCCATAAGTCCTTCCGCGGGTTGGAGTGCCATCTGCACTCGCTCTCTATCGTCTGGCGAAGCTGTAAAGGCCAGTTGCGGCTAACAGTATTAGAGTAATCCGAAAAAAAAAACGCGCACACACTCAAACACACACACACAAACACACAATATATATATTATATACGCACACACGCACATACTTATAAAAACACACACAAATATTTGCAACACTTACAAAAATGACTTTATAGTTCCCGGAGAGCTTGGGTATCTTGACCCCGAACAGATCCTTGAGCTGAGAAGCGAGGACGTGGAAGGAAGCTGCCGTGGTAAATCCTGACACCAGCGGCTCCGACAGCAGAGACGACACCGCACCAAGTCGCAGCATCCACATCAACATCTGGAAGAAACAAAAAGGTGTTAATTTCTCTTCCGCATAGACATAGAAATAGAAATAATCTTTATTCAAATAAACTCATTACAAGCACTTTTGAATAGTCATATTTTGATTCTACCACTCATTCGGAATGCAGATTCATCACAAGAAGAATGAGCAAGAAACTTGTGTGTTGCTCTTTTTAATAGATGTTTTTTTTATATAAATAATTACAGTATAACAAGTAAGAGGCATGCGATAATCAACATAGAAATCGCTACGCACTCATTATTAATAAGTGCTATGGATTTAAAGTTTTTCTATGAAAACATTATTATCGTTAACGAATTCTTCAATTTTATAGTAAACTTTTTTTGCAAAGGAACTGTTTTATTTGACATTTAAATCTTTTTTCTGGCAGATTTATAACAGACTCTGGTATTTTATTGTAAAACCTTACGCAATTGCCATAAAACGAATTACTAACTTTAGCCAAACGACATTTAGGTAAAATCAGTTTGTTATTGTTACGTAAGCTTTTATTGGTGCAATCACTAACTCTTTTGAAACTGTCTTATAGTCATAAGTCATACTTATAGTTTACTTGATAATTAACTTTAGATATCTATCAGTCATTGAGTGAATATTCCGGAATATTATCGACAATCGGAATTGGAAATAGAAATAGAAATAGAAACAGAAACAGAAACAGAAACAGAAACAGAAACAGAAACAGAAATAGAAATAATCTTTATTCAAATAAACTTAATATAAGCACTTTTGAATAGTCAAGTTTTTTTATTCTACCGCTTATTCGGAATGCAGATCACAAGAAGAATAAGCAAGAAACTTGTGTGTTGCTCTTTTAAATAAATAATTTTAACTGGAGTTCTGAAATATGTATAAAGAGCGATTCTTTGTAATAGAATTGAACTATTATTTATTTAATAAATAGTAATAATCTTTATTCATATAAACGTAACATAAGCACTTTGAATAGTCACATTTTTTGATTCCACCTCTTATTCAGAACGCAGATTCATCACAAGAAGAATGAGAAAGAAACTTGTGTGTTGGTTTAAGTAGATTTACATTAACAAGGATTAGGCATGCGACCATCAACTTAGAAACCGCTACGCACTTAATCTCTGTTCAATCAGATAAAATTGTCAGCGCTATGAATTTTAAGTTAGATATTTTCTAAAAAAACATTTATAAATTCTTAAATCTTGTAATAAGCTTTTTAATATTTTTTTAAATAATTGATAATATTAATTAGAAATATAAAATTAATTACAAAATTATTTAACGTCAGTCAATTTTGAACTTACGACCTTTGGAAACTAAGTCCAGATTGGAACCTCAAGAAAATCAAACTCAAAATCTGTATTTATTACCTGAAATATTCCGACAGAGAGGCACACTATACTGAGTACTTGTAGTGGCGTGTACTGTACTGCATCCAGGGTTGCCACTGTTGGTAAAAACAAAATTATATTGCAGGGTTGTCAATTGTTCTAATGCCATCTCGTGACAAACACCGTGTGGTCGTTTAGTGGTAGGGTTGTCAATTGTTCTAATGCCATCTCGTGACAAACACCGTGTGGTCGTTTAGTGGTAGGGTTGTCAATTGTTCTAATGCCATCTCGTGACAAACACCGTGTGGTCGTTTAGTGGTAGGGTTGTCAATTGTTCTAACTCCACCTCTTAACTCCGGCAATGGAGCTCATCTCGTAGGTACACCGTGTGGTCTTTTAGTGGGTAAGGTAAAGATCCCGTACCCTGTAATCCTCTATGGCATTTTGGATGTCGAATACATACAAACTCTCGAATATATATGTTAGATATATCAACTCTATGTACTAGTAAAAGTCTGTATTATAATAAAATAACAACTCTATAACATTAATTTAACTATGTCTCTAACACAATTCACTTTAGCAAATAAAATACAACCAGCACATCCTGTGCTCAAAGAATGCCGCGGCCTACAAAAACCCTCCCTTTTATACAGAGAAGATATGAGTGGGGGTTATATGCAACTAGTTTAACGATACCGAGTAATAATGAAACTACCTTCTTTTAATATTAAATAACAGATTTTTCGACAATATCGATGTGAACCCTAACATATATAACTACCTAGCTGACCCGTACAACTGCGTGTGCATCACACTTACTTGACACTTATCATTACATTTTACCCAATTTACATAATAAATCTTTTTAAGATTATAGCCCATGTGTAATTCTGAAGTATAACCTATATTACGCTTTTGTAGTTTTTGCGTGAAAGTTTTTTTTTTCCCGTTTTTAATAATTGTTCATGTCCTTTATATGTTATAGTATACCCAATTTACATGACAATAAAGTGTTATAATTTAATTACTGCTAAGTTTCATTAAAATCCATTCAGTAGTTTTTGCGTGAAAGAGTAACAAACATCCATCTATACTCACAAACTTTCCCGTTTGTAATAATAATAAGACTAGTTGACCAGCGCAACTTCATTTGCATCACACTTATTTAACATTTATCATTATAGTATACCTAATTTACATGATAAATCTTCTTAAATTATAGCATATGTGTTATTCTGAAGTCTAAGCTATATTACTGTAAAGTTTCATCAAAATCCGATCAGTAGTTTTTGCGTGAAAGAGTAACAAACATCCACCTATCATAATCACAAACTATCGCGTTTATAATATTATTAAGATAGGATGTGTTATTCTGAAGTATAAACTATATTACTGTAAAGTTTTATCAAAATCGGATCAGCAGTTTTTACGTGAAAGAGAAACAAACATCCATCCATTCACAGTACTACTCATTCATACTCACAATCTTTGTGTTTATCACATTAGTAAAAAATAAGATATCAAACATAATATATATATATACGAAATAAAGATATAGTAACCTGAATTTATGTCTGTTGAATTTGATAAGTCCATATGCATTGTTGCGTGTTGAGTGACTACCTGTAAACAGAAGACGAAGAAATAAGACGGCGATACAGTCTATCTCCCTCATACACCTGCTAGTTTATTCTAGAAACTAATTCCGATTGAATAATATAAAATTTTTATAATCTTGACTAACAAGATATTAAATTCATGTTTTTTGTTCAATTACAAAACCAACCGATATCTAATATTCGTTTTATTATTACTACCTACTCGCCCCGGCTTCGCACGGGTATACATGTATTATACATATAAACCTTCCTCTAGAATCACTATTTACTAAAAAAAACCGCTTCAAAATCCGTTGCGTAGTTTTAAAGATTTAAGCATACCTAGGGACAGACAGCGACAGCGTCTTGTTTTACACTATGTAATGATAGTATAGATTTTACTATTGTATATTAATGTATTACGAACCTTTCCCGCCATCAGACAGGCGACAGCAAAAGTCCCCATGGAGACATGGGGCGAGGTCCCGAAGACCACGTATACCAGCACTGGAAAGAATGCCATGTACAGGCCGACGATGGGCGGAACTTCTGCTAGTAACGCATACGCCATGCCTGATGAAAATAACAAGAAGTTGATGCAAGTAGAATGGCAAACAAGTCGACCATCGAACTGATGGTAAGTTTTTTTATGGATGATAATGAAATGATGCATCAGCCTGCGCTAACAGTTTACGCTGGCGGGGCACCAGCGAAGAGTGAAGAAATGATAATGAAGTCAGGTCAGTTAGAACGTCGTGGTAAATTGCCATTTCCATTTTCAGGGCAAACCGTGGGGAGTACTGACATTGTTCATCGCTAGAAATGTGGTTATTGGTTTAAATTACTAACAATTCCCTTCCCCCCGGCTGTAGGAGTAGGTACTACGTGCGCATTGCCGATTTCATTTTTATACTATTCCAAGGGGAACCTGGTAACTACCGTGATAACATACTACTGAGGGGGGAAGGGGATTGTCAGTAATGTGGATTGATGATCTTATTGCTAGCAATGAACCATGTCAGGTTGACCTCCACGCGGAAAACACCTGGAAACCATCGTGATAAATTCTTGGTGAATTTGTCACGATGGGCTCACTGTCCTGACCTCATGTTTATCTTATCATCCTCCACTGGTGCCCAGCCAGCGTAAACCGTCAACGCAGGCGGGTGCATCATTCCATTGTCATTCATAAAAGTATACTGCTGAAATTGCCAAGATGGGTTGACAGATCTGATTTCATATTCATCTTATAATTCTCCACTGGTGCCCCGCCAGCGTATACATTTGCGCAGGCGGTGCACCAGTCCAATAAAGAAACCCTCCTGCATCCTTATTAGATACGCAGATAAATTATTTATTCACCAATTACAAACATAGCAGTGTTACAGAAAAAATAAGGTAATAAGAAGTACATATAACCGTCAGATAGGTTTTATCCATGATTGGTACCACCATCATCTGCTTCTTCCTTAATTGGTACCATCATCATCATCTGCTTCTTCCTTAATATAACCGTCAGATAGGTTTTATACATAATTGGTATCATCTGCTTCTTTCTTAATTGGTACCACCATCATCTGCTTCTTCCTTATCAATTTACGATGGTCATATATTATTGGTCGGCGTAATATGTTTTTCTCTTCCCTTCAACCCTGGTACCACCAATGTGGTATACAAAAAACTCCTTTCATACCAGGTACCACCAATGTGGTACAAAAAACTTACCTTGGGGTATGTGCATCACAGCTGTAGTAGCCCCGGCGACTAGGTCTCCCACCAGGTCTCGTTTGAAACTGTACTTCGGCAGCCATCTTGCTATCGGCAGGGAGTTCACGATACATTCTCCGAATCCGCAGTTGTTCACTACCTTCTTGCATTGATATCGCACTGTTGACAATATGAATGAAGCTTTTTTAAATAAAATATAGGTACAAAATTTCCCAAATTTAATGGCAGGTAAATATGATAATGTATATGAAACAAATGTATTTTTTAATAAAAAAATATTGAGGGTTTTGGGCTATTGTCAGATGTTAAGACCTGTAGCACTGCGACCTGCATAGATCTATTATGCTCGCTCTTTTTCAAAGCAACCTAACCAAGAGGCCTTCCATTAATCACGTGATCTTTATTAAGCATTTTTTAAAAAAAGATCACGTGATTTTCCCCCTTGGTGATACGTGGGGACGTTTAAAACTACCCACACCCCCCTCCCAACATCAAGTGTATTTTTGGCACCTACAAAGAATCTTAAAATTTTTAAAATATTATCTTTAAATACAGGTATAAGGTATAATCGTATTATATTCTGAAATTAAGGACCATGATAAAAATGTCTAGACAGAAGGGTTGCAGATTGTTTTTGATTGGCATAAAATAAATACACGTGATGTCTTACAAGCTAACCCCCCCCCCCCCCCCACCCCACCCCCCCATGTCGTGATTTTTGTCAAACCCGTCCTTCCCCTTTCAAGACTCACGTGATAACGGACGGCCCCCAATCAATCGGGGACAACAATTGAAGGATATTCATAGGAGCGAGGGTTTTTATCTCCTCAGGGTATAGTGTATACTTTCCTAAGGATATATTTCGTTTATGCATGAGTGGGCTCAAAGCACATATTAGAATGCGTAAATAAAAGTGTAATATATAAAAATAAACCTTAGGAATACACATAAAGAAGTAAAACATAGGCCAAAGGACGTCGCCACAAAGAAAGCGACAGATATTAATTTAAAAATAAATATATATATATACAGGTATTTAGACAAAGATGCATTTGCAGATACGCCTGATGCTACAGAACCTTAGGTAGTCGTACTCACATGGCTTCTCTGGTACTTGATAGTCAGCATCTTTATTAAGTATATCTTGTTGATAAACTCTTCTCACTATGTTGAACTGCTGACTGGATCGCGCCTGTGCCCTGGTGGCAAAAAAAGAAGAAATTTAGAATACATTATCTTACCATGTGCGTTCTTTTTATCATGTGGAAAAATCCTCAAAAGACCATCACCCCGGCAGAGAGGTGACGAGGGGGTGTATGGGATTCTTAACCACTAGAACACCACTCGGTGTATCTATAAGCGCCATCTACCACGACTTCAGCAGCGTTGGCCAGCCGTATAGATGGCGTAGAGCAGGCCCTATCACGTTGTTGTTTTTTTCTTAAGGATGATAATGGAATGGTGCACCCTGCGCTAGCGGTTTATGCTGGCGGGGCACCAATTAAGTATGATAAGATAAGCATGAGGTCAGGATAGTTGGTGGTGGTAAATTTACCATGAGTTTATCACGACAGTTTCCAGGGGAACCACGTGGACTTCAACCAATGGACTTATTAGTCCACATTACTAATAAAGCCCTTCTCCTTTTCTGTTTCATTGTTAGGGCGACCTACTTCGCCCTATTCAATTATGGAAGCATGTACATACACGCGCCTCCGGGTCCATTTAGTTGGGGCGTTGCTTTACATAATCTTTACAGAACTGCTGATAGCATCTACGTATCTAGCACTACGGGTATCACGTTATCATGTGAAATCCGTGATACAACTCATGCCTGTTCTAGAGGACTAAGATGTCATGCCACTTATCCTGAAATTTCATTACCTACCCTCTTTATTTGCAAAGCCTCGTCAGTGGCGGGATGAGGGGGTGCGTGGGAGTTATTATCATGTGGAAAAATCTTCGCAAGACGATCCTCTCTCAGAGGGGTAACGAGGGGATGTGTGGGACTTTTAGCCACTAAAAAACTACACGGTGTACCTAAAAGCGCCATTGCTAGAGTCGCGTGGTTGCATTACCTAATTTGCACTGAAGCGCGATGGTTATCCTCACCACTGAAGCGTTATATATGATGTGATGAGGTGTCGCTACATAATATATTGTTTATTGTACTATCTAGATCAGAGGTTCCCAAACATTTTTGTGTCGTAGACCCCTTGCCATATTTTTCTTTCTTTTCCCATCCCATTGCCATATTCTTCTTATTTTTTTTCTTTGTAGTAATAGTCCCATACAGTTGCCATAAAAATATAAATTAAAAAAGATAAAAATATTTATTTTGATTCTTTCAAATTAAATATTTGTTTTTTATTGATTTTTTGTAAATTTCTAATTGTAATAAAGTTTAGTGTTAAAAACAAGATTACCGCTGTCGTAGACCCCTTGCAGTTTGTCATAGACCTCTGAGGGTCGATATAGACCACTTTGGGAATCACTGATCTAGATAGTGAGTATACCAGTGAAATAATTGTACGATTTATTATTAGTGAGTTTATTTGGTAGTGTGCTACATGGCTTATTGGTAACGCGTTCATTCGACGCGGAGGCGGGACGTAGACTGTTTTACGTATAACTTAAATCTATGTTAGTGGAGACGTAAACTAATGGAAGGGTCTTAAGATCTTGTTCTTAGAGATTGTTCTTAGAAATATTACATGTGTAGGCACAACATTCTACAATCGAAATATAGCTTACGAAGCAAGCTGTTTGCCGGCTGATATATGCACCCACGCAGAGTTTTTTTACTTTGGTAATTAGGTGAGACTAAGGTATCCTGCAGATGAGATTTTACAGTCTACCTCTGGGAATTCGTTCCGATCGAGGATCAAACTGGGAACATTCATTTAAATGAACCCCTATTGTCGATGTGGTAGGTATACATAATGGACTTGCCAGTCATCATCAGAGTCTTCATCCTGAAGCAGCGGTCGGTTCTCACTGTTGAAATCATTGTCGAATACCAAAAATGTTTTTTTCATGCGCATCTTTGATTGCGCCACTCAAAATAGCCGTTTTGTAATTTTTAAGGAGTTTTAAAGTTTGGTTTACAAGTTCAGATTAGGCAACTTTAATAGATCTTTTATGGGAATTGGCATTAAACTCTATAATAACATACAAAAATATATTTTGGCTCTAATCTTTAATGAACTCACACATTCATTAAGTTTTTAATATTTCGCGTTCAATACTTATTATTAATATAATTATTTTTAAACTTTTGTGTTTAATATATACTAGCTACTCGCCCCGCCTTCTCACGGGTGTACATCTATTATATATATAAACCTTCCTCTTGAATCAGTTTATCTATTAAAAACAACCGCTTCAAAATCCGTTGCGTTGTTTTAATGATTTAAGTGTACATAGGGACAGACAGCGACAGCGACTTTGTTTTATATTATGTAATGATTATTTGTATTATTAACCGGGTCTTAACACGAATGATTTTATGGGACAGTGTGTCGCGAACTTTCGTTGAACAATCTAGTGACGGTAGATGAAAAAACTGCTGTCACCTATCTACATTGACATCGCTGTTACTCCAGTCAGCTCGTGACCACGGCTAGTGCAACCTAGTCGAAACGTCGAGAGAGGTAAATACCATTATTTGCCATAAAATTATTCATTATATTGTTTAGACCCGGTTAATAATATAAATATTATTGGCATAGTTAAACTGGTTTTACCACGAATAACTTTATATATACATATAAATAAAATTGGAGTGTCTGTTTGTAATATTGAAATAACTATTTTTTACTACATGCATATGAATATAAATACGGTACATACACCAAAATAGCATTTTTTACCATTTTTGTCTGTCCGTCTGTTTGTTCCGGCTAATCTCTGAAATGGCTGGACCGATTTTGACGGGACTTTTTTGCCAGGTGGCTAATGTAATAAGGAGTAAGTAAGGCTACTTTTATTTTAGAAAAATAAAGTTAAAATCCACGCAGACGAAGTCGCGAGTACAGCTAGTGGTAAATAAAGGTATTTACCTCTCTCGACGTTTCGACTAGGTTGCACTAACTGTGGTCACGAGCTGACTGAAGTAACAGTGATTACAGTCATCGACAGTCAATTTATCTCCCGAACGCTAGGAGATTTTGACTTTGAGACCATTTCATTACCGGCCAATCTCAACTCCAACGTCCCTGACCCCTGTTGTAATATGTTCACATTACAAAGAAAATATGGTGATAATAATGTATTTTAATATTGATAACGGTTAGTTACTTGGCCTTGGTGGTGTAGCGGATTAGCACACCGCTTTAGGTCCGATGGTCGCGGGTTCGATTCCTCGCACGTTACAAACATTTGTATTCATGAGTAAGATTGTGTGTCGGTCTGGGTGTTTTCTATATATACATATTAAGTTGTCTTTATAAGAAAATATAAGTATTTATATCAGTTGTCTAGTAGCTATAACACAAGTTCTACTATAGCATAAAAAACCTAGCTCCTAAGAATAGACCTCAATTCTTGTCCCTGACAGGCCTACGTAGCCAAGGTCTTAAGTAAGTAAAGTAATTTACACTTTATTTTTGTGAATCTAAGTAAATAAATAAATATAAAATAATATTAATTAACAACGCACCACGATCACAAGAAAACGTGACAGGTAATTATTATTGGTGACAGATTTTTTTGTAAACATTGTAAATTGTGGATAAATATTGGAGTAAACCTACGTGATTACACGTTATTACAACATTGTTACATATTTACATATATTAAAACATATTATTATGTATGATACGAATTTTAAGACGTAATGTTTTAAAATCTTGTCTATTTTTTGATATCCAAAATAATTTGTACTAGTAGTCGCCTAATGTTTAAAATTCAACCATAAATTAATTTAAATTATAAGTTTGAACATTATTAAGGTTCTATTGTCATAGACTATAGTTTATGCGTGTGTGCCAAATACATAGTAGTGATATAATAAAAAAAAATATTAGTATTCAGCACTTCTTCACTATATAAACTATAAGTGTGCGAAATTTCATATCCCTCCGTGAGCGTAATTTTCGTAAAATGGGGTACAAAGTTTTTGCTTCACGTGTTAAATATACTCTATAGCACTTGGAACATGGTTATAAAAAATAGTGAGCAAGGGCGATATTATTATTATTATAAACATAAAATTGTATATATATATTGTGGAATATTTTAAAATTATTGGAATTAGTGTTTAAACCATAGCTTAATAATAATAACATAAGCTACAAAACATTTTGGCTTGCACTAAAAGCAAAAAAAACATTGTAGGAGTTATAAAATTTGAAGCAACATATATGTAATGCTTCAAAAAGGAAGAATTTGCAAATGTATTGTTCTAAGTAACGTGAGACCATGTATAAAATATTAATTATAATAGTGATTTATTGGTTAGTTACGAAATAATAAGCTACGCAGCCATACAGTCAAAAATAATTGACTCTCGCCAAAAATATAAATTAAAAAAGATAAAAATATTTATTTTGATTCCATATTCAAATTTAAATATTTGTTTTTTAATTACACACGTGATATTCGCAACAAAGGAAGTATTCACTGCACTGAGTAAGTCATCACTATGTTTTTCTTTTTTTTAAGGAACAATTTTTTATGCAATTTTTTTATTGTAATTTTCTATACGTAATTTTAAATATTGACCGCGACGCGGCTAGTTAACCGATAATAGTGGTTTAAACTGAAAACTTAAATGTGATAACGCAACGTCTCGGTTGGACGCTCAACAGTTTCTCCGACAGAATAAAAAAAATTGATTGCTTTATAATCAATTTAGCAATATTAATTTACAGCAGACAGACATACGAATAAAACTATTCCTGAGAATTGATAATACGTACATATATAATGACAAAAGCTTTTCAGTTAGTCCTCATCCTAAAATAATATATATATATATAGAATTAACGTTTGTTAGTCTAATTAAAACTCGTGAACGACTGGACCGATTTGGCAAATTTTAGTTTTGAAATATTTGTAAAAGTTCAAATAAGGTTTGGACAAAACAAGGCATGGTAAAAACAAAAAGAAATATTTTATAAAGCTTTGGTACCTGTCATACGCGATGCGTTCAAGTCGATAGCTTAATTTCTGAACGCATTATAAATATTTGACTTGACAATTTTTATACATTTACCTTGCCCTGGCAAGAAGACGACCTGAATTAGCTAATATCCTTTGCCTACATACATCGAAAATTAAAAAAAAACACAACACGTTAATTTTGTCAGATGCCCCGCCAAAAATGCTTAAATTAAAAATAAAACAACCAATAGTGTGGTACCCCTGTCTCCATAATAATTTATCGATAACACGCTCTATTTTATTTATTCAGTCACGTGATGTTTGTCTTGAATCGATTAATAAGTTCGATAAACTCTCTTTCCGTAAATATAATTACAATGATAAAGATGGGATGAATATTGTACAGTCAGTCAAGAATAGATCGATCTAAATCTTATAAATTCAACTAAATTTAATGTATGCTTTCAGAACACTACTTCGTGGTCTAGCGGTTTAGCACACCGCCTTCTGATCGTTGCTGGTTCGATTCCTCGCATGACGCAAGATGCCCCGTTGTTGATGCCGGGGTAAAGGGGTTCGCCCCGATACCCCAACCTTCACCCCCCTAGGTAGGTACGGCTGACCAGTGTCATTTATGATCCGTACCACGTAGGTAGCAAACAAGCTTACGACCCACCTGATGGTGTACTTACTAATAGGTGGACCATCTTGTCTATTTACATTTTTTATGTAACAGTAATAGACATACTTATATGGCATATAGATAATGTAGCCGATACAGTTAAGCGTGGAGTGGTGAAATATTCAGTAATGAAAATCGATAGAAGTTTACAGCTGTCCGTGTCGCTTGCGCATATATAGCGTGAGTATAGTGTTCGCGTGCGGTGCGAGGGAAGTGATAACTGCTATAGGTGTCGCTATCTACGCACAAGCGGTGGGATCAATTTAATTACCAAACAAGTAGGTATACAGGTATGTAACATTAAGTTTTACAGATATACCCTACAAACGAACAATATATTTTAACAGTGAAGCACCAATTTATACATATATATAGTAAAAGGTAAGTATGGATTTATATATACATTATGGTTATTTCTATATGTTTTATGTGTTTTTATTTTTATTAATATTTTAGTTTTATTTTACAGGTCCGGTTCGCCGTCGCGAGGCACGTCGGCTACAAATAATTTACAATAGACTTTTTTATGTAACATATTTATAAACAAAAATCTATTCTCGAAAAGTCAGGTTAAATTAAATTGCCGAACATTATACTGCGCCTAGTTTTTGTGATATAGCAATTATTAGAATATGTTGATTCCATTTTTTGCCGAATCTAAAATAGAAGGAAACAAAATGACAAACTGCTCAGTCCGGATATTGCATTTTTATATGCCGGTCTTTTTTGGTCTCGGTCGAAGCAAAGTAGGAAACAAATATAAATATAATATACCGAATTGACGGTCTCGGTGACCTAGCGGTTTAGCACCTTTACTTCCGATGGTCGCGGGTTCGATTCCTCGCATGGCTTTCATGAGTATGATTATTTGTATCGGTCTGGGTGTTTTCTATGTATAATATGCATGTATTTACGAATAAAATATATGTCTGTATTTGTATCAATTATCTATAACATAAGCTTTAGATTCCTTAACTTGGGCCTAGATGACGCTGTGTGTATTCTTCTGAGATTATTATTGATGAATATGGTGATGGGGTTGGTATTGGAGAAAACTACATAGGTACACGTATAACATATATTTACTTTCGGTATGTGTTTATAATGCAGCGGATACAGAACGTAAAATGCAGTGCTGGCCACTGGATATTAGAAACCAGTTTAGGGTTGAGCTCGACGCTAACAATTATTATAGTTATATAGTTGAGCTCGACGCTAACAATTATTATAGTTATATAGTTGAGCGCGTCGCTAACA